CGGGTCAGCAAAGGAATCTGGCAATTGATTAGCTAGCTTTTGATAATGAATAATCTTTTGGATCTCTGAATCACATTCTAGAGTCCGAGGATCTTGCCAATTTAATGATGTTTGATTCCATGAAAGATCTTTGACCAGCTTGTTTGTCTCACCACCTAAAGAGGGATATGCCGATTCATCGAATTGGCAATCCGCATATCTGGCCTTGAAGAGATCTCCAGTGGTTGGCTCGAGATATCTTATGATGGTGGGAGAGTCAAAACCAACATATATTCCCATCCTTCTTTGAGGTCCCATTTTGGTTCGATGTGGTGGAGCAATGGGTACATATACTGAACACCCAAATGTTTTGAGATGGGAGATGTCTGGCTCATGACCCGAGAGTAGTTGGGATGGGGAATATTTGTGTTCACTAGATGGCCGGATGCGTATGAGTTCAGCAGCATGTAATACTGCATGTCCCCATGCTGAGGCCGGGAGCTTTGATCTCATGAGTAATGGTCGGGCTATCCATTGAATGCGTTTAATGAATGATTCAGCCAATCCATTTTGAGTATGGACATGTGCTACAGGATGTTCCACGGTTACCCCCATGGCCATACAGTAGTCATTAAACGCTTGTGAGGTAAATTCACCAGCATTGTCAAGGCGGATAGTCTTTAGTGGGAAGTCAGGGAAATGGGCCCGCAATTTTATGATTTGGGCCAAGAACCTAGCGAAGATAAACATATGACCAACGGGTCGATGCGTCTATAAGGACCATGAAGTACCGGAATGGTGCGGAAGATGGATGTATAGGTCCACAGATATCGCCCTGGATTCTTTCTAGGAAATGAAGTGTTTGTTTAGAGATTTTAACTGGTGAGGGCCGAGTGATCAATTTGCCTTGAGAACAAGCTGTGCACATGAGGTGTTGAGGATAAGCTCGGTTTTCTTTGAGGGTATGCCCTTGAGAGTTTTGAATTAGTTTACGCATCATATTTGCACCGGGATGACCGAGCCGGTCGTGCCAAATAGTATAATCAGTAAACCGGGCTTTGAGAGTGGTATTAGCTTCAATCATACTGACTTTAGCATGGTAAAGTCCAGTAGAGAGCGCGGGTATGGTTTCGAGGATTTGTTTATGGCCGTCTACGGTTTTAGTGACTAGGAGGGATTCTTTGTTCTCTTGACCTTGGGTTTCTATGTGGAAACCATTCTGTCTTATATCCTTGAAGCTCAGAAGATTTCTCTTCGAACTAGGAGAATATAGAGCATCTGGTATTTCAAGTTGTGTGCCATTTGATAGCAACACATAGGCATGGCCATATCCTTCGATAAGGTTTGAGGGACCCGCGATGGTGCTAATATTTGCGGTTTGATAGGTTAGGTTTATGAAGTAACTTTTGTTTCTTAAGATAGTGTGGCTGGATCCACTATCTACGACTATGGTTTCCATTTGCTGGTGTGCTTTATTATGAATAGAAGATAGAATTCAGTATTGAGGAATTCAGAAAATGTGATAAATCATAAAGTAAAGCAGTGTCTGAGAATAAAGGCAAATGGAAAAAAAAAATGAAACAAATCCCAAAATGAAAAAAAAATAAAGAACAAAATCAAATTGTATCAGAGTTTCAGATGATTGAATTAATCGAGGAGATCAGCTGTTTCATAGTTCATGGGGTCGGTCTGCTCGTTTGTGGTGTTCTCATCATCAAGGAGGTCGTCACCTTCCAGGTTAGCAGCATCGACTGGCTGAGTCATGTTGGCTTCAGCAGGAGCTTTTCCGTACTTCTGGTATAGATCGCAGTGGATCTTGGGGGTGCGACATTGCTTTGTTGGGTGGTTGAACATCCCACATCTGGTACAAGCAGAGTGATCGGGGTTGGTGTGGCGGGTCGGCTTGGTGATGCCTCGACCACGACCAGGACCATAACTGAGGTTAGGTCGGTTGCCACGACCATGTCCGCGTCCACGTCTTCCACGTCCATGTCCTCGGCCATTACCACGTCCATTACCACGTCCACGGCGGTGATCTGAGGATCTATCGGGTTGAACATGGTAGGACTCTTGACGAGAAGCTGGGACAGGAGCCGATCCCGGGGGCCTCATAGCGCTGTTCCTCATAAGCAGCTGGTTATTCTTCTCAGCGAGGAGAAGACAGGACAACAAGTCTTCGTACAATGTGTGTTTCATTGCACGGTATTGTTGTTGGAGCACAACATTCTTTGTGCTGAATGTGGATAATGTTTTCTCGAGGAGATCATTATCTGTCACATCCTCGCCACAGAGTTTCCGGATGGCAACAATACGAAAGAGTTCGTTGTTGTAATCATCTACGGATTTGTAGTCCTGGAACCGAAGGTTCTTCCAGTCGAAATCTGCCTGAGGCAACTGGACCATTTTCTGATGGTCATATCGCTTTTTCAGCGCTTGCCACAATTCAAGTGGATTCTCAAGAGTGAGATATTGCTGCTTAAGGCTCGGGGCCAGATGATGGCGTATGTGACATATCGCCTGAGACTGTCCCTTACGGGATGCGGTGTTACCGTCGGTAATACACGCATCGAGTTCTTTCGATGCAAGGAACAAGCGCATGTCTAGGGCCCACTCGAGGTAGTTATCCCCGGAGACGTGAAGGGCCTCGAATTCACATTTCTGAATGTTTGACATCTGAAACATGAGATTGATTTTGTTAGGGATTGTTTTGAGAAAATTTTGAATGCTGATGATGAAACTTTCTATTTTGAGAATATTTCTATTTTAGGAAAGTTTCTAAATTTGGAAAGTTTCTAATTTGGGTAATTTTCTAAATGAGGAAAGTTTCTATGTCGGAAAAATTTCTATATGAGGAAAGTTTTTATATGAGGAAACTTTCTATTAGAGGGAACTTTCTCGGAAATAGTAAATTTTAAAGGGTATGGTTTTAGTTACCCCGAACATGATGTCGGTTTAATAGCTGTGATTTAATCGGTTAAAGCCGAATATAATTTCGGTTAATGAGAACCAGGTTTAGCCGGTTTTAGGCGGTTTAGGAGGAACCCTAGGGGAGCCGAATATGATTAGGGTTTTATCTAGGGTTTTAACGGTTTGGAAAACATATTTTGGATGTGATTTCGAGATCTATAGGATCTGTGGTCGATGGTTTTAATAATTTCACAAGGACAACAAAGAAATCACGTGAAAAGGACTAGGGTTTAAGCATTATGACTTACGATTTTGAAGATTACAAAATCGTGAATCAAGCTTAGGATTTAGGGTTGATTTTCTTAGTTTATTCAATCAAGTGTTTCAAGCAAGAGAATCAACAATCAAATAAGCTGCAACAAGCTTATTAAACATGAAGAAAATCAAATAGGTTTATGCCATAAACATGGCCAAAAACAGTTGTTAGGTTTTTGTAAATTAGGGTTTTATAAAACGAGTTTAAAACCTTTGAACATGCATAAACTTGTAATTTAAACAATCAATCAACAAGTTATCAATCAATCATCAGAGTATCAAACACTTTCAATCAATTAGAGATCGATAGGGTTTTGAAGTGTTTAAACAACAGGTTCTATGGCTCTCAGTTTTAGAAGATACCTTTTCCACCTTTGGATTTCTGACAGGCTAATGAAACTGGGAGCTAATAGACCTCAGTTAGCCGCTACAAATTCCAAGGATTGATCACCAAAACTGGAGAAGCTGCTGGTTGAAGAAGGAAAAACTCGGATCTGGATTTTTTTTTTTTTTTTCGGTTGATCGTCGTGTACTGTAAGTGTGCGTGAGGGCGCGTCCGACGTTGGATCGACAAACGGTTTTCACCAGTAGATTCGTCTCGTCGAGGGCTTCGATTTGATATGTAGATCGTCTTCTGGTTCCTCACGGTTTGGAAGATATGCGTCTTTTAAGTTTCGACTTGCTTTTAGGGTTTTGGTGGTGGCCGGATTTATTAGGGTTTTTCGCTCAGAGAGTCTTATCGTGCTGATAACGTGTTGTGAAAACTTAGAAACTTTATTAATCACTGGAATGTATATATAGAGTACATAGAAAATCTAGGTTAAGTACAATGCCCTGATGGGCCTAATGGGCCGGTATAAGAGTCCATATATGATATGTGTTATAACATCTAGTACTATTTCGAATTCTGAGACTAAAAAGAGTTGTTTTTTTTTTAATCTATTTTTAGATATCAAGAGTAGAAGCAATTGTATTTGATTTTCTGAAACTCTTATTAATATAACTCTACGGCTAATTTTGTTTAACCTACAATAATTCGAGACTAATGACCTAAATTTAGTATATGATATTTTCTTTTTGGTCGATGACAAAATACACACAAAACTCGTTATGATCTGAAAAAAAAATTTCAGTGATTTGAAAAGTAACCTGGTAAAAAAAAAACTGACTGGTTTGTTAAAAAAAGGTAAATTGGTAAACTTTTTGGCTCCAATAACTTGTATCCTTCTCATTATTGAGACTTAATTACTGAGCTTTTATAAACACATTTTATTAATGGAAATGAGTTTTTTTCCCCCTTAAGGACATTGATACTAATCATTTTCAGCCCATTGTTTTAACTAAATTAAGCCATTCTCACTTACTCATTCCAAATGAGATTACCTACTATAAACAGCCTTTAATTACATTTTTAGAGGCCTTTTAATATAGTTATCCCTTTTTGGATGATTCTTTCAATGTCCAACAAGTATACTAATATGATATTGCTTTCTTTATGACATGAACCTTTGAACCTAGTCTATTGGTTTTTAATTTCATCGAAAGAAAAAAAAAAGAGAGCACAATGACAAAGAGAACTCGAGTAGATACCACGCCAAATCTAATCTTATCCCGCTTGAGCTTTGATTGATCATGTTGATGTAGATAATTAGACCACTACTTGAATCCTTTGCAAGAATTTTGGAAAAAAATATTTAGATGAACCACATTTTGAGTTTTTCGGATTTATAATCAGATTTTAGAGAAGATTGGCGATTCTATTCAAATTAAATTAAACAAAACCAAACAAAGACAAAAACTTACAACCAAGAAAAATCTTTGGTCCAATAAACCTCATCACTACTAAAGTAAAACCCATCTTCTCTAACGGACCAAGAACATTTCCCTGTAAATCCACATCTATTGATGTCCCTTGAAATCTTAAACGCATCGAACCTCTTCCTCTTAGATTCCCACTTCATTGTACATGTATAGTCTGCTTTCCACGACCACAACTCGATCCTGGCCGTCCATCTGAAGTCGTCTCCTTCTTGAAGCGCACGACCACCGAGTTCTCCTTGCGGCGAGTTGCACCAGATCACTAGAGGGAGAGATGAGTTGTCTCTGAAGCTGTTGATTACACGTACGTCGTATTCCTTTCCCAATAGCATGGTTTGTGGCTGAAGCATCGACGTGAAGATGATCGTTAAGGTGAAGAATATGATGATAAGTAGAAAAATGATTTGTTTAGGAGTTTTCATGTTTTGTTTTTCCTAAATGATGCAAAGGTGCAGTTTTTACATTTTTTTTTTGTTTTGTGTGTTTCTGTTGAGAGAGGTTTTTAAATTTCAGGTGGATTCATATCCGGGAGAGTTTAATTTACGATAGTGTCTATATATACATGTATATTTTTATTACTCTGAAATCTCACAATAATTAACTAGATTTTCATATGGATTTAATCATATCTTTGCAGAGCTAATTAAATAGAAAATAGCTTACATTGTCAGTTTCTTATTAAGAAAAAAATGAAAAAAGCAACATAATTAGTATTGAAAATAATAATAAAGTAGAGCATAACCATATATAAACAAATATCTAATATAAAAATAGAGAAACAAATTTATTTCGAAATCCAACTTGATATATAAAAGATTTGTATATGATAAACAAAAATCTGGTTTTATTAATTTAAAAATATTTAAAAAATTTAAATCGATAATTTAACATAAAAACGACATTCCGAATCAAATTTTATTTTAGAAACTAAAGAATTAAATAATTTAATACATGAGGGATATAACGAAATCATATCATAGATTTAGATGTGCACCTTAGAAGTATGTTGTTTTAGTATAAATCATGTTTTGGGCTTAGTAAGCCCAAGAACGTCTGTAAACTGGTTCACTTTTAGCGGCCGTACTAGTTAGTGGTAATCGGCGGTTAGTATTTTTTTAATTAATAAATAATAAAATAACTGTAAATATAAATACTCATCGATCATCTTTTTCTAGGGCTAAATTCCGATTCCCATTTCCGACGATCGGGTGCGATTCGATAGTTTGATCCACCGTCTCTCGCTTAAGCTCTTTTAACCGGCGGCTATGGCTTTGAACAATCGGCGAAGAGCAACGTCGAGACATCTCGCTTTAGGTTTAGCCGATCCTCAAATCGTAGTCCCAGGAACCGCTTACGCTGAAGCCACTGAAACCAATCGTCGAAGCCTTGTTGGTCGAGTTCTCGGTCCTAGAAAGCCAGATCTCTACTCAGTGATCCAGACTCTCCCTCACGAGTGGAACGCCGCCGGATCTCGATCTCGCGGCCGCGTAATCGGCGGAGGAAAGTTTCAGTTCGTGTTCGAGAGGGATCGTGATCTGGAGATGGTTCTTTGGTCCGGTCCTTATACTCACAACGGATGGCTCGTCGTGTTGCAGCAGTGGGAAGACGAACCAGGTCCTGAGTTTCTTCAATCGGTGCCTATGTGGTTGAGAATTCGTGGGATTCCGATTCGGTATGTCTGTGAAGGGACGATTCGCGAGATTGTTTCGTCCATGGGTGAGGTAATGGAGATTGATTTAGATGATAAAACTGTTGATTTGCGTTCCGTTCGTGTTCGTGTGAACGTTTCTGTGGATACGAAGCTGTGTTTCAAGAAAGTTGTTAGATTTGAATCGGGAGAGACGAAGATTGTGAAGCTACGTTATGAGGATGTTGCTTGGAACACGTCGAGGTTTAGATTCTGTCGTAATTGTGGGGATTTGAATCATCTCGCTAAGTCTTGTTCACATGTTTGGGTTGATGTTCCTGACCCTCTTGAACGTGCTCTTTCTCCACCTCCTCCTGACGCTAGCTTTGATGGCTCTGCTGAGAACAATGGTGGAAATGGAACTCTTACCTGGGAGGAGAAGCTCGAACAGGTAGACGGATCTTCTGATGCGGTTCAGGACTTACCTGATGGGGACCTTGAGCAGAAGCAGCAAGGTCTTGATGGCGTTCAGGAAGCTGACGATAAGCAAGTTAAATCTGAAATCGGTGGAACATCTTCTGAAGGGTCCAAGAGGAAGTTTGAAGCAGTGGAGGAAGCTGATGATATTCTGGAAAAGCGGATTCGAGGAAGCTCTGATGCAACAGAGGGTTTAGGGGTTAATCTCAAACCACTTGGAGAAGAATGATCCTAAGAAGGTTAGAACTGTCAAGGGTCTGCATCATAGTGTTTTTTTCAGTAGAAGCGAAATGGAATAGAACAGTATGTACAGAAAAGGGTACCACGTAGGTTTTTGGTGATGGATGCAATGGAGCTTTTAGCTTGGCTATGAGATATGTTTTCAAGTTTGTGGAAAGCTTTTATCTAGGTTTTGGAATTAAGTGTTTCATTATGAAACATTTATGGTCGTGTCTTGCTGTGTTTATCTAAAGTGTCCTTATGACTTAACTTATGCAACGGATGTAGTAAACAATATTTAAGTAATGAAAGTAGTTTGTTTTGTTTCATCTTTCTTTTTTATGAAGTTATGAGAATCAATGTACGGAGAAGTTTGCAATTTCTTAACGATTGTGTTCTCTTTCTGTGTAGTAGACATTTAGTAGACAATAGATATTCAAATGGAGTTTCTGATGATTTATAACATATCAAAGTGATAAAACAGAGAGAAAAAACAAAAACCATATCACAGGGTTGAAAAACAAAAGTAGTTCCAACAGATCAAACCTAGGATTTGAGTCTAAACAAAACATGGAGAAATGGATGACGAAACATTTCTCTTTTAATTAATTCATTTCTTAATTTGCCTTACCATAAGCAGCCATTCTGTTAGGAGGAAGCTTCTTTTCTGCCTCACGCCTTCTTCTCTTTGCCCTTCTCGATAATTTACTCGTCTCAGCCTCGCCTTCCTCATCTGCTGCTTTCTCTACTGGTTTCTTCGTCTTCTTCTCTTCAACATCGTTCTTCTTTATCTTCTTGCTTCTCTTCTTCTCATCATCATGATTATCATCCATCTTCTCCCATAACTCACTGACCTTACGTTTCTGGTCCTTAACCTTATAACTATTCACCTCCCAATCCTTTTCCATGAAAGGAGCCATCTTCTTCAATGGCACGTACTGGTTCAGCTCTGTGTCGTCTAAAAAGAGTATCTCTTCCGGCTCCAGCCCGTAGTTGTTTGGTTGAACTTTCGCAAACCTGAACCTTGTTTTCAAATCTCCAATTGTATCCTCATAGTCTAGCTTGTAATACTCCTCCATCAAAGCCTCCTTGGCTCTTTGTACAAGAGATGTTTTCCGCTTTCTCTTCCTCTTACCCTCTCTCTCTTCTTCCACCTCTTCTACTTCTGCTTCTTCTTCTTCTTCATCACCAGCGACATTCTCCTTAAGCTTCAAAACCTTTTCTCTGGCGACTGTAAAACCATCTCCACCTTGAATCACATCCCAATTCTTTGGAAGTCCAAGCAGCTCATCTTCCTTGTCAAAGTCTGGTTTTTCATTATCATCATCATCACTACACAAATCTTCATCCTCCGCACCGTAGTAATTGTCATCAAACGCAGCTTTCATCATCTTATCATACTCCTCGGGATCAAACTCATCCTCAAGGTCTCTCGCATCTAACGGACACTCTTCTCCTTCCTTAAAACCAGCAACAGAGAGCACCTTCTTCATCTTCTCCCTCATCTCCTTCTTCTTGACATTCTTCAGCCGCTTCAGCTCCTCTTGCCTCTCCAACTCAACCATCTTCAACCTCTCCTCTTTGTTTTTCCTCTGTGTCTTCCTCGAATTATCCTTCTTCCTAACAGAGCCTTCTACGATCCTAGACTGACCCATAACTGTCTCCCCTGCATTCTCCTCGTGCCTGAAGCTATACTCATAATCCTCTTGCATCCAAAGAGCTTCCTCATCTTTATCCAACTCATCCAACTCATCTTCATCAATCTTGCTCTTTCCATCTTTCTCCTTCCACATCTGTTTCACAATGAAATCTCTCAAAAACTTATCTTTCTCGCCAAGCTGAGATACTTCACCAAAGTACTCATCCGCTTTCTTCTTCAGCTCCTCGTCTTCTTCCTCCTCCTCCTGCTCATCTCCTTCCTTTACTCTAAACAAATCTTCATCATCATCATCATCATTACCCTCTCCAGTCTCCACAGCATCGCGTACTGCTCGCTTCAATTCCTCATTCTTCTCAGCGTAACTCTGAGACCCTCTCCTCTCCTCATTTTCCTCGAGAGAATCTGGACCTCCTTCAAGCAATTGCCTTGCCTGGACGTCTTTCAGATACATCTTCTTCTTCTTATTCTTCTTCTTTTCCTCCTTCTCCTTCTTCTTCTCCTCCTTCTTCCTTTTTCGTTCCTCCTCATCAACCCCATCGGTCAAGCCGGTCACCCTAAACACAGGGTCCTTTGCTCTAACCTTAACCAACGAATCGATAAACTCTGCGATATCATCCTCATCGTCATTTGGCTCAGGCACTTCTTCTTCGGATTCTGATTCGTCGTCGTCGTCTTCGTCGTCGATTTCACCTTCCGCCACCGCCTTCTCGTATCGCCGGAGATCATCGCGCTCTCTGTTGTGAATTAACCTACTACCGTATTTCTCATCTATCGGGAGCGTATCGGCGACTTCGTTCACCGGAGAGTCGCCATCGTCATCATCAAACAGCTTCGACGGCATTCTCATTCGATCTTCTGAGGTCGACTGGACTTGTTGCCTGCTAGGGTTTTTGATCCAGTTAGTTGCATTTCGGTTTTTTATATATGTACTGACTTAGACCAGACCGGTTCAAAATTTACGACTGAACCGGACCACTATTTCACTAGAACATAAAAGATTCCAGCTTACGTAATTGAAACCAATTTTCAATGGACAGGACCGGTTAATCGGGCAGCTCATCCCTACACTCCTATATATTGTCACAAATCAGACAAAAAGTATTTATACCTTACGCAAACTATAACAGTTTTGATCAATATATAGCAAACAATACCACATGACCATTTTTTTTTCGTATAGAAAAAACCATTCCTCTTTTTGCAACTAGCTCCATTAGGCCTCGGCAAAAAACCAGGATCCGAATATCCGAACCAGAACCAAACTGAAATGGAGGTACCGAATCCGAACCGAAATTTTTAAAAATATCTGATGGATCTTAAACTCTTATATCCGAAGAACCGGAACCGAACTAGTACCGAACTGAGAACCGATTGGGTATCCAAATTATCCAAAATATAATTATATATCCTTCTAAATATTAATTTTTTTTGATATTTTTTATATTTGATATATATTTCTGGTTTTACAGATATATTTTCTTTATTTTTGGAACTTTTGGGTATACTTTTAAGTTTTGATATATATATTTTTGAATTTTTGTTATTAAAAAAATGTGAGTCGAATTAAATATTTGAGGCAAAAGATTCGGATCCGATTATCCAAACCGGAACCGAACCGAAATAAAGGTATCGAACTCGAACCGAAATTTATAAAAATATCCGATGGATCCTAACTTCCTCTACCCGAAATATCTGAAACCGATTGGTTCCGAACCGAAACCGAACCGAATATCCGAATGCCCATACCTAAGCTCCATGTTTTCAATCACATTCGTGATTTACTTGTCAGGCTCCAAAAGGTAAAAAAGTAAAAATGAAAGGCACTTAAAGAAATTTTAGTTCGGTTTAGTTTCCACTTGTCAGACTCCAAAAGGTAAACGATGGGTTAAGCGAGTGTAACATAAAACTCCAAAGCATAAAGAAAAACTATACAAAACTCAGAGTCATGTCTTCTTCGCTCTCTCTACTGAGTGGTTACACTCTTCGCTAGATTCCTCGGCTGATCAACGTTGTGACCTCTCAGAACAGTCAGATGATAAGCCAATAACTGTCCCAAGAAAGAAAAAAACAAAAACACCATCACTTATCAGAAAACCAAAAAAAAAAAAAAAAAACAGATGAGTTTTTATGTCAAGAGTTTATATTTTACCTGTAAGGGAACTATATTAACAACAGGTTGTAAACAATCCTCCACTTGAGGAACTTCGATGGCTCGACAAGACCCGCTCGAGCTCACAGACGCAGCATCGCCTTTTGAGCACATCACTATCAACCTCCCTTTGCGTGCGTGAAGCTGCTGAATCACCGACTGTTGTTTGCTGAAACAAGCATCGCGAGTTGCGATCACAGCGATGGGTAGATTCTCATCGACCAAAGCTAAAGGCCCGTGTTTCATCTCTCCTGCAAGTATTCCTTCGCTGTGCATGAGCGATACTTCTTTTACTTTCAACGCTCCTTCTAAAGCTGTTGCGTAGTTGTATCCTCTCCCAAACACAAGCAGTGACTGCTCGTCTATCAACAGTTGCGCAAGATCCTTCATTTCCTCGTCTAGCTTTAGTACTTCCCTAACCTTATCTGCAATCAAATATGATATATACTCAAAAGAGTCTTAAGAAGAAGCTAACCATTGTTGACATTTTTACTCAACTTACTCGGCAGATCAAGTAGTCCATCGATTATAGCTTCTCGTCTAGTTTGGCTGGAGATTGTGTCACTTCCGATTGCTAAAGCTACCATTACCATTACCACAATCTGACTTGTGTATGCCTGATAAATGTTTGGGTTTTAAAGTTTGGAAAGATAAATATACTCAGAGATTTTCATGAAAGTTCTCTGAAAGTTAATTTATTACCTTTGTACTTGCAACACCAATCTCAGCTCCTGCGTTGATATGGACACCACAGTGTGTTTTTCTAGCTATGGAGCTCCCAACGGTGTTAGTTATGCCAACACATAATGCACCATTGTCGCGAGCATAATCCAAAGCAAGTAATGTGTCTGCAGTTTCACCAGACTGGCTCACGAATACCGCAGTATCCTCTCTGTATATTGGACCTTGTCTGTCCCAGAGATCACTAGCAATCTCCATGCTGACTGGTATACCTATGGAAAGACCTAAAGTTAGCAGATTCAATCCGTAATCAAGATAACACATGAATCTAGTCGAGCAACTACCAGAGAGTTCTTCAAGGATAGGTCTTGATGCAAGAGCCGCGTTGTAGCTTGTCCCACACCCGATAAAAACTATACGCCGGCTGCGTCTTATGGTCTTTAGGTGATCTTTCAACCCACCTAAGAGGACTGTTTTCGGTTTGCGTGAACCACCGCGTATAAGCCGGCCTCTCATTGTGGTAGTCAAAGATTCAGGCTGCTCGTGGATTTCTTTTTGCATGTAGTGATCATATTTTCCCTTGTTTATTTGCTCCACCTCCATCTCTAGAACAGATAACGCACGTTCCACTGAAGCAGGTCTAGATAAACCATTACGCCTTCCCCTCTCGTTTTCAAACTTAAGTATTGACACGCCTCCATCCTGTTAATCAAAGTAGAATTGGTGAGCACATATCTAGAGAATATGCATAGGTTACATAACAACCACTTCATATCTCCTGAAAGACACTTATTCCTCCAAATTGGACAATAATAACATTTATAGGTCATGATGTTTCTTAAATGTTTCAGTTGCTACTTATTGGTTAGTCAATCAGATTCGTTAGTTATATGCTAGAATACAACATTCACACTTAAAATTTGGCAGGGAAGGACTACACACTGAGTAAAATAAAACTGAATGATTGTTATACCTTGAGATGAACAACTTCGCCATCTTCAATGACCAAGACTTTCTTTGTATGCTCAACAAGAGCGTGCGGGTCACTTGATAGGAAAAATTCCTTTGGATGCTCATTCTTGGAAAGAAAGTGGGCATCCTTGAAAACATGATTTTTGTTCTTGTCTTCATTTAGCTCCTACGAAAGCACGCAAAAGTGAGGTATACCGCAGTTGCTTAGGTAATTGAACTACTCGGAAATGTTTTGCTTCTGTCGATGAAAAACCAGGGTGAAAAGACAAAAACTATCATTAATATTGTTGTCTAGTTTGAATCTTAAAAATGCAAAATTAGGACCCAGGTGAAGCAACTGGGCTCCTATGTAGCTAAGAGAAGAATACCCTCGGAACAGAGATGTAATATTCTGCTCTTTGTATACACACCAAGGTCAAGAAAACTTTCATAAGTATATTTATATATCCCTTGCATATTAGATTTCCATGTTTAAGAGCTGTTCTTATGTTACAGAGCTTGATACCATACTACCTAAAGGAAAACTCAAGCTACATTTCGATCGAGCAAAATGAAACAGCCTCGTGATTCTAGTGACTGAGGGTTACTTACTTTAACGCCTAAAAGCAATGGGCTGCCACGCTTGCACGCAATCAACTCATTCGGATAATGCCAGCTTTTAAATATAAGAGCATAAGCTCCCTCAAGATGTCTCATCACTTCAAAGACAACTTCACAAAAACTTACGGTCTGTTCACCTACAAAGCATAGGAAACAGATGTACCCGTGAAAAAAGTGCATGCTAGCTAAATCGAAACAAAACTACTTGAAATCAACTCCCTGGATCTACAACTAACATCTCCCAAAATTTTTTAACCAAACTTCCCTCAACTCATATAATTTCATACACAATATGGACATAGCTAGTAAGCAATTCTCACCTAAAGAAGCATTACCTTCTTCATTCGCTTTGTCAAAAACAAATTTAGCAAGCTTTGGAATGACTTCAGTGTCAGTATCCGATTCAAAAGTAAATCCATGCCTGACTAACGTTTCTTTCAGTACCTAACTCAAGAACAATAACAAGAGGTACATAATCAAATCAATAGCCTTTTTTAACTCTCTTATACACAAAAGAAGAGAAGAAGAAGAAACCTCATAATTAGTGATAACGCCATTGTGAACCACCAGAAAATCATCTCCAGGACCAGAAGACTGAGGATGACTGTTCCTCGGAGCTGGCTCACCATGAGTAGCCCACCTAGTGTGTGCAATTCCAGCATGGAAATAGAAAACCTCGTCCAGGTTCAAATCAATATTCGTAACCTCTGCACACACAAATCATCACAAGGACGATTGAAATCAAGCGGTGTCGAAAACTGGAAAATGAAAAAATCGAAGATCCAGAGAAGAGATTGAGGGAAAGTGACCTTCGTTGACGGAATTGACGAGTGATTCGATGTTCCCGGCCTGACGAAAAACGAGCGGAGGAGAAGAGCTAGGGCACTTTTGGTTTGGGTGGCGAGAGAGCGAATCGTCGATGGCGATTCCAGCAGAATCGTAGCCTCTGTACTCGAGACGACGCAGGCCATTGAAGAGAACCTCGAGAATGTATCGTCTCTCTTTGTTCGCGTGGAAATTCAGATACGCGAAGATTCCACACATTCTTGTGTATTGATTGTCTCTCTCGCTGAATCTCTTTCAAAAACAATTATTGAGAGTTTCGTGGAAAGAATGAGAGGGAAGAAGAAGGAATGGAACGGTGAGATTTTCTAATTTTGACTCAGATTTGGGTTTGACTTGTAAATAGGATGCACATGTTTGGATATTTTTGTCTGTTTATTTTGTGTCAGGAATAATGACGTGGCTGTTGGTGATTGGATAGAGAGCGAATTTTTGCTTTTGTTGAAAAGCGGAAATACAGTCTCTAGGCCTGGCTCGTGGCGGTGCGCCGCTGGTCACGTGTGATTAGTCAGGAGGATTTAATTAATTTGGAACTTGGAGTATATTTTACTTATTTTTAATTTTATTGGGCTTGATTTATGGAGAAATCAGGCTTCATACAAGATAGTATTAAATCGAGGTTGCGACTCTAACAATTACCCTTGGTAACTTTTGACTGAACGAGGGAATTTGGTAGCATTACGTTTAAACCGGTGATGTACCTTCTTTTTTTTTTTTTTTTCCGTCTAAAATTCCTTTATTAGTAATCAAAATACATATCATTGTTTACAAAAGACTGCAAAAATGAAGGACAAGTACGGTACAGAGACCATGGTAAATTAGAAAGTATTGCTGTCTTAGCTAATAAATCAGCACAGTTGTTCGCCTCACGATGTCTGGCCAACGTTGTGCAAAAATAATAACATATTAATATTTTGACTGAGAACATTCAATTAGAAGATGTAATTATTGATATTTTCAACAGTATCTTACAAATTCGAGTTTAGTTATATAGTTTTCATGTCAATGATCACACAAAAAACCCTACATTTCTTTTCTTTGCAACATTTAAGAATTTTGGCGACTACTTTACTATAATAAAAAAAAAACCCTACCTTTCTTTTGGATATTACTGGTTGATAAATAAATTCAACATTAACATCCAAATCAATCAACAACAAAAAAATGGCAAAGTTCATTGCCGTCTTAATTGTATTTCACTTTTTGTTTACTACTCAATTTTCCAGTGTAAGATTGCCAAAAAAAATGTTCCCCTTTCGATTTATTTGTGAATCGAATAGAATTATATGGTTTTACAATATATTTTTTGCAGACAAAGGAATTAATAAATCCATCAGATCCAATCCACAAGGTATTCATTAAACTTTAAAAGTCAATAGAAAGCAAATACATATAGAATTAAGACGAATGTATTCATATTTTTATCATTTATATCATCACAAAATTTATTTCGCAGAAAGGACGAGAGGGTTCACTTAGTATTGGAGGTAAAATTATTTGATAAAACTGATAAATATCCAAAATATTTACGTTCTTGTTTTTTTTATATATATATATATATATTTTGCAAGAGTGTCTGGCTGCATGTAAATTTCGATGTTCAGCAACATCTCACAAGAGTGCATGTTTGATGTATTGTAACCAATGTTGCAAGAAATGCTTGTGCGTACCATCAGGAACATATGACAATAATGGAGAATGTCCTTGCTACAACAATTTGAAAACTAAACAAGGTGGACCAAATTGTCCATGATAGTCAAATTATAAACTACGAAAAATGTTTTGATGAAGTCTTTGTATACGCCTTATGGTAATTTTAATAGTTAAAATAAAAGAAAAAAGGTTTTTTTAGTTCAAAAAATAACATAGATCCATTTAAAAATTTGACCAAACAACGAGAAAGATGATAATTGACATATATTATATGTTGTCAGTAATGCAACTCAAACCGAATTTTAAACAAACCGAAATTTAAACCAATTCCCCTCAAATTGAAAAAAAAACCCAAAAAACCCGAAATAACCGAACCAAACCGATAAAGAATCCAGAAATCACGATTAGTCGATTATGGAAGAACTCATATAAAAAGCGAATTTATTCCAACTATCATCTTCCTTCTCTGGCTTCGGCTTTTCTGCATCGGAGATCTCTCCGGATCTGCTACGCGGATTTCTCTGCTAAGCTCACCATGACTCATATCCTTGTCTATTCGTTTTGGATTTCCCTTGTTTTACTTACATCTCGATTGATTTTTCTTTCTTCCTTAAGTTCTTGATGGTTCGATTGCTCAAATCATGTGCATTGGAAAGGTTTAGCGTGTTCTACAAGGCTGAAAACACCTAAAATTTAACAAATTTTTTAGGGTTTGTCAAATTTTAGGTTTTGTTTTGGATCACCAATTGTCATTGATTTCTCCGTGTGAATTGCCTCGAATCTAACGAGGGTTTGTTTTGTTTTTGTTCGATTTATTAATCTCCATTATCTGATTGTTTTGAAGTTGTACAAGACGGAAGCTTTTTGGATTGAACCACTTAACTCGATCTTCTATGCAAGATCTGATCTTGAGGGTGATGATACTCTCAAGGGGTTTGATGATTTTTTTTTTGTGTTTCATTGATTTGATCGCACCAAATTAGTTTGTTTTCTTTGATTCTGGCTTTTGTTTTCTGATTTGGCGAAAATTTGCACGAGGAAGTCAGAGAGAGCGTGATCGTGAAAGGGCTCAAGCTCGTACCGGCGGTAAAGGAAAGACCAAAGACGACGGCTTAACTCCGGAGCAACGGCGTGAAAGGTACTAACTTTTTTTGAATCCGATTTTAATATACTCTCTGGAGGATTAATCGATTCCAATTGTGTTTGTGTTTTGTAATGATTTAGGGATGCAAAAGCATTACAAGAGAAAGCAGCCAAGAAAGCTGCTCAAGCAGCAGGAGCAGCTAGTTCCGGAGGAGGAGCAAAAGGAAACAATAACAAGAAATAACAATGATTCCAATATTTTCTGTAATACTTCTTTCTTTTGAAAATTGGCATTGCTTCTATGTGGAACTTTGCTTTTGAATGTGAAAGGTTTGATGTTTGAATTGTGGTGATTGTTTTGCTTTCATGTTGAATAATGACTCTTTGAGCATCCATCTGTGTTTATCTTGGTGTTAAAACATTAGAGAGTAGATTAGAAGTATACTTGTTCTTGATTGAGATTTGAGACACATCTTGCTTCTTGATAGTTTTGTTTGTAGGTTTATAAAGCTTACAGAATCATCTTGATCATATATAAGTACATAATAAGATATGGTTTCCAAAGATAAATATCTGTGCAACTCTTGATTTAAGTTGTTTCTTAGCTGCTCATATACAATCATCTGCATCATCAAGACCCACCCAACCAATGAAAGCAAATAGAAACTCTCTAAAACCCACTTTCCCTTTTCTTCCCCAATCCATTTCTTCTGCACCACACAAACAAACAAACCAGAGAATACAGATGGATTCCAATGAGTAATCATCTGAATAAAACGCATAGAGAACAAAAGAAAAAGAGAGAAGAAGAGATCGAGCGATGTATATATACCGAATCTCATGTTGGTGACATGTGAAGGAGATCTCTCTAGAGGATAGTCTTCATTATTCAATGTCTTTATCACATCAGCCTTGTTCAGTTTCCCTTTTCCATCTTTGTCCAAAAACAAGAACACTTCCACTATTGGATCAAATACAGATTCAACCAACTTCGGACCCATCTCCCTCGATTCCTATAAGAAACACAACAACAAAATTTTAGTTTCTTTCATTACCTAAAACATTCAATCTATCTTATTATCATTATTACCAGGCTTGATTCAGAGGAAGGTTTTGCTAGAAGATAAATGAGACAGAGAAGGACTATAAACTCATTGAACTCTATTCCTTTGCTTCCATCAACATCACACCATCCATATAAACCTTTCACTTCTTCCTCCGACAAACTCAGCTTTAGTTCCTCTAAGCATTTCTTCAGCTCCTCCATATCGATTGTTCCGTTTCCATCTTTATCTGTTGATTTCACCACAATCAAATTGTTTAAAACTGAAACCGGTGGAATCTTGAAAGCTAAAGAAAACGTTACCGTAGGATTCGAAAACGCTTCTGATGTTTCTCAATCCTTCTCTTAGCTTCGGAAACTTCATGATTATTGAATCCATGGACTTTAACCTCCGGTGTCCCGGATAATTTCTCCGGCTCTCCACCATTTTCCGTTCAAGCTTTGAGTCCAGCTCAGCATACTTCTTGTTGTTCTCCGACTTAACACAGCAGCAGAGCATGCTCCCTACTCGGTTTTTGTATTCCAAAAGTAAGTATTAAACCAAAGAATCAGAGAAAAGTTAGATGGATATTATGAAAAGAAGAAGAACTCACTCATGTTAATTTTGATGGTTGAAAGGAACAAGGCGTAGCAGATTAAGTAAAGCATAAAGAATCATCAAGAAAGGCATTAGGAATATAGTAGCAAAGTTAAAGGCTCAAACTTTGGTGGCCCTTTCATCATTTCAATGTTTTTATTTGTCATCATTATTATTATTGTTATATCTTTCTGTTGTTCCTTCATTGGTTCTGCTTTCAACCGCTTTCAATTGAATACAAGAAATAATAAGGCAAGAAGGTTCAAGATTTAACATTAAATATAAGCATGACTGCATGAATAGGGTAAGATGAAATTTTGATTCGTCCTAATATCTGATCTTGGTGTTGATATTTCTTCAAAAGTAATGGTTTATTCCCATCTTCTCGGTGCCACGACAGTATCAGTTTTGTCACGTTTTACCGACAAGCTACAACTTAATAAACTTAATAAAAAACGACTTCAAAGTTCTCGGTCTTTTTTTTAAGACACGACAATCACACTGGTCTTTTATTTATTTATTTTACAGTTTAGCTTTTAGGAAATCTTCGGACTTTTCTCACCAAAACTCTCAGGTATTGGTAAATGGTAACTCAAAGTCATCTCTTTGCACGCACATGGCTCGAGACGTTTTTGTATAAATGGTCGAAGTTGTAAATCTCTCTCTCTCTCTCTCCCATCAAGCAGCTTTGCATTGTTTAGCACCAAAGAAAAAAGGGATCCTACTGCATTTCTGACCTCTTTCTTTTACTTGGTAAGATTTGTGCATGGTTTAGGATTGAGATGGAATCTTCTGAAGCACATCTAGATACAATCGAGTCTCAGAGGTCAACGGTTGTCTTTCAAGATCAAAGAAGACAAAGATGCTTTCCTATGAATCTGATTTACAAAGCCGCAGGCATATTCAGCTCAAGAAATTCCTCTCAAAGGGGAGACACGGAATCTGTGCCAGAGTTCCTTACCAATCTCAGATTGTTGGATCTTTTCAATCTCCCTGTTGGATGCATCCAGATGAATCCGGAGACTTTTTGCGGAGTGAGTGATGGGAACAAAGAATGTGTGGAGAAGTTGAGAAGCCATGAAATGGCATGTCTCAAGAGCCATAGTGGAGATTCTGTTCTTCATCTTGCTGCTACATGGGGTCATCTAGATTCCGTGAAGAGCATTGTCTCTGAGTGTCCATGCCTTATATTGGTCCCAAACTCGAAAGACCAGCTTTCCCTACATGTTGCGGCTTATGCCGGCCATTCAGCTGTTATTGAGGCTCTTGTTGCGACATTAACTTTTGTTTCAGCTAAACTGTCTGAAGAAGAGAAAGAGAAGCTGAATCTATATGTTGTCAAGGACAAAGATGGAGATACTCCTTTGCATTTGGCGTTGAAAGGACGCTATATGGAGATAGCTTCCTCCCTTGTGAAAGCGAACAACCAAGCTTCGTTTCTTGCGAATAACGAGGGAATATCTCCCTTGTACATGGCCATAGAAGCTGGAGACTTATCACTTGTGAAAGCTATTTTAAAAACTACAGGCGATAATGGCCTTGAAAGCAAGAAGTGTAGCTTAGATTCAAAGTTGGAAGGGAGAAAATATCTTGCTCACGCTGCTTTGAAGGCCAGAAGTACAGGTATGTTTTGGTTTTTGAATCAATAACAGGTTGCATTTTGTCTGTTCAATTTTTCTTTATTAAACTAGTACTGAGATGGATATTCCTAGGTCATGCATACAAGTAATTTATGTTCCCTAATTGCTTGATCAGATATCCTTGATGCTATTCTGAAAAAATATCCAAGTCTTGAGGATGAGCCAGATGAACAAGGAAGGACTTGTCTTTCATTTGGAGCATCCATAGGGTATTACGAAGGAGTATGCAATCTCTTAGACCGATCAACAAAGAATGTTTATGTGTGTGATGATGATGGTTCATTTCCAATCCACTTGTCTGTAGAGAAATGCAGTAGGGAGATTGTTGACGTGTTTCTAAAACGTTGTCCAGATTCAAAACACTTGCTTAACAAACGTGGTCAGAACATTCTCCACATTGCAGCAAAGATGGGCCACCATATAATCAAAAATGATGTGAGGAAAATTCTGGAATTTGGGCAAGATGTGGATGGGAATACACCTTTGCACCTTGCCACAAAAAAATTGTGCTCTGGACTCATTACTTCTCTTACTTCGGATGTAAGGATACTGCAAGTACGTAACAATAATGGGTTAAGAGCTCCGGATATCGCTGAGTCAGAGGTGAAACCAAACCACATCTTCCAAGAGGTATGTCCGATATATTTCCCATATTACACAACACATACACACATGTATATAGAGAGAGAGATTGACCATTGTTTTTGTATTACAGAGGTTGACATTGGCACTCTTATTATCTGCTAATACCAAACAAAAGGGCTATGAAAAGATAAGGTCAATGACAAGACCATCAGAGCCACTAAACCATGACAAAAACCGAGACTACGTCAACACTCTTCTGCTGGTGGCAGCTCTTGTAGCAACACAATGACGTTTGCTGCAGGTTTTACAATACCAGGTGGCTTTAATAGCTCCGGTCCGCACTTGGGCAGGGCAACTTTGGCCACTAACAGATCTCTCATAAATTTTCTGCTATTTGACACTTTGGCATTGCTAAGCTCGGTTGCTACAGTAATTATTCTTATGTGGGCGCAAACGGGTGATCCAGCACTCATTCGCGCATCCTTAGACGTGGCCTTGCCCTTAATGCTTTGTGCACTAATATGCATGCCCTTGGCATTCTATTGTGGTGTGATTACTGTGGTTGGGCATGTGAAATGGCTTTCAATCACCGGTGGCGTTATGTCTTTGGCTTTCTTCCAATGGGGGTTGTTTCTCCTTGGCCCTCACGTCCTGCTACAGATGTCAAACGCTTCTCCTGAGAGATATGGTTTAACCCTCGAGATGATGATGAAGTATAGAAGTCTGTTTCCTCTTATACCTGATGATACGTATGTGAAGAAGATGGAGTCTCTTGATGGTATTAGAAAAAGCAGTAAGTAGCTGAAATTTCTATGTTTAATTAATAATAGATGGAGCCTTGGTTAGCTTTCTCTGTCTACTTGATGTAACCCCTATCCGGCTATAAACAGTTATACAATAAACAGCCTTGAAATGTTGTGTTTCAGTAATACTGATATTTATGGAGTTCTTATGATTTATATATACTAGGTGACGTGCGGGTTTTTTTCTTCAACTATTTCAAATTTATATATTTTGTATTTTCTTAAAACAAAATATAAACATTATTTATTATGTGTTAGTATATTATTATAAATCAATCAATTTGAAATACAATATCATTAAAAATCAAGAGTTAATATTTACATAAATTCTTGTTTAATTATCTATCAATATATTTAATTAATTATAACATACTTGTTTAATATTTACATAAATGTTATTTAAAAATCAATTAATAGATATTTTTTTGAGTAGTTTAAAATTTAATATTAAAATCTATTAATTAATTTTCTTTTTTAAAACTGTAATTTTAAATAGATTTTTTCTTCAACTATTTCAAATTTATATATTTTTGTAATTTTTTTTTTTTTAAATGATCATCATTTGTTAATATTTTATTATAAATCAATTAATTAAAAATATAATATCATTAAAAATCAAGAAGTTATTAAAAACATCAATTTTTAATTAATTATAACATAAATTCTTGTTTAATATTTATATAAATGTTATTTAAGAATCAATTAAAAAAACTTTTTATTTTTTGAGTGGTTTAACACTTAAAATTTATTAATTAATTTTCTTTAAAATGACACATGTCATTTCCATATCAATTCTCAAATGCTGATGTGTCACTCATATGGAGAGAGTTGAGCAACTTTTATATAAGAAGATATTTTGTGATAGGATCTTTCAATTTGTGGATAGAAAAGCCGCATCAGTACAGTATTTTTGGTCCATCTTCTTTCTCTTTTACCCATCTCCAACACCTTTTGACATATTCTCGTCGTTTATCTTTCAGATTTTATTTTGTTACAACCTACATCTTTATGAGCTGGTTTCAGAACGTGGAATGGATACATATTGGAGTATATTTTTAGGAGAGTATATAATTGTATATTTGCTTGTCCTTTTTGATCTTTTACTCGTGTAGTTTACAATAGTTTACAACTGCTTTCTCTCTCTTTCTATAAATTAGGCATTGGTCGCCACTTAGCAATAACTCAAAAAGTTCTCCAACTTGCTTTTTTTGTTGTGAGTTGTGACACTACATTTACGTTATCTTATTGAATTTTGCTGTGATATGTGTTATTGCTAAAGATTCTAAAGAGATTTTGATGCAGTTTAGGGGTAATCTGGAGAGTAATCAAACAGAAACAGAATCAAACAACAAAAAGTTTGGTTTTGATTCAACTTGTTTCCTTCCACTTGGAACTAAACCCGGTTCAAAGTTCAAACCAATTTAGCCAAAAAGTCGGTCCCTTGTTAGTTCAATATTGGCATATTTGTATTAGTCCAATTGGTTTTTGGGTGGATTGGCCATAAATCAATCATATCGGAAATACCATTGACTATTTATACGGATCATTTAGAATGCCGAAAACCGTTTCTATGGAAAATCCTTTGTTCGGCTACCTTGGCTTTGATATCATATTAGGAATCATAGATTTTCAACTCAAAACGAATTGATAATAAAAAGAACCTTTAAACCTTATATATTTGTTAAAAAATGTCTCAGTTTCCATTGTGGGTTGTCTTAACATTCTAATAATTTGCATTCTAAATGATGTCATGTCAACATTACATTTTATGATTAAACACGTTAGAAACGACAATAGAATAGTTGACAAAATTCATTTTTGAGCATGGAATAATTCATGAGACATTTTGAATTTTGAATTTTGCTCTACCGTTTTGTGGAGGGGTTCCAACGCAAACTATTACATAACGATTATCCCATTTCCATCTTTACTGCGGATTCTCATCAACCAACATGTTAAAAGATCTTAGCGGTGGAATCTTGAGAGCTAAAAGAGCTCAAGAAAACGTTACCATAAGATTCGAAACGTTTCTTATGTTTCTTAGTCCCTTTCTTAGCTTAGAAAACTTGATAATTATTGAATCCATGGACTTTGAACTCCAGTGTCCCGGATCATTTCTCCGGCTCTCCACCATTTTCCATTCAAGCGTCGCATCCAGCTCAGCATACTTCTTGTTGTGCTTCAAGTTAACACAGCAGCAGAGCATGTTCCCTACGCAGTTTTTGTATTTCAAAAGTGTAACTATTAAACAAACGAAACATAGAAAAACTTAGATTACAGAATGAATCAAGCATCTTTTTTTCTTAGTCAATCAGGATTAGAGTATGGAAACTTGTGGGAACAAATATCCACGGAGAAATCCAACCGGAGAAGGCCCAAAAATCGGATGGCTTTAATACCATGTTAAATATGAGTTTATGGATTTTCAACTCAAAACCAATTGATGATAAGTGAATTGATCCTTATACCCTTTATATATTACTTCACAAATTGTTCAATTACCAATGTGGTGAGACTTTCACAACACTTTCAACTGAATACAATACAAAAAAATAATAAAGCAAAGTTAAACTATTAACATCAAATACAGTAAAACCTCTATAAATTAAAAATCATTAGAAAATAATAAATTTTATTAGTCCCAAGTCGGGCCAATTTAAAAATTCATCAAATTCGATAAGATAATAAAATAATAATTTTTTTTTGAAATCCCTATGTAAATACATGGTCTCAACAAAAATATAAATTAATAATTATATATATTTATATAAATATATGTAAATATAATATTCTAAAATATGACTAAATGAGTTTACTTTTATTTAAAGTTGAAACCTCATTGTATCTCATCTCTCTAATTATATATTAGTGGCTTTTATTGTTGTTTTACGGTATGCATTCAAAATATATGATACTTTTTGATGTGATAATTGATTTTCTTACTTTTAAATGTTTCAAATGTATTACATTGTTATCTTTAATTTTATCATCAATAATATGGATAGTAGCCATGATTTTTTTAATTAAATTTTAAACTTATGAACATGTATTTTTACATAGACAATCCAATATACTATTAAAAATTATTCAAATGTGATAGTTATGATTGTTAATCATAATTTGTATTAAAAAAATTGTTTAAATTTTTAAATATAATATTATTTGAGAGAAATTTTAGAAAATTATAGACAGAAAATAAATTTTTACGATAAATAAACTTATAAACATGTATTTTTACATAGACAATCCAATATACTATTAAAAATTATTCAAATGTGATAGTTATGATTGTTAATCATAATTTGTATTAACAAAATTGTTTAAATTTTTAAAAATAATATTATTTGAAATAAATTTTAGAAAATTATAGACAGAAAATGATTAATTTATAGATAAATTAATTCACGATAAATTAATAAAATATTATAGTCCTGATATTATCAATTTATAGAGGTTTTACTGTATATACATGAAATTTTGATGAGTTTTGTATCTCTTAAGAATTTAAACTTTAATCATATTACAAATCTATCTTAGATTTATGAATTTAAGAACACGAGAATTGATCCACAATGTCCACTTTGAAAAATTAGAAAACACCTCCGATGTGATTTACAATATATAGATCAATCTAAAAACGTATCCTTAATATAAATATAGAACATCATACAAAAAAACATCGAAATTAAAACTTATGACTCAAAATATGTATTTACTTGATTGAAGTTCGCCATAGTTTCAGCATTACGGTAAACCCGTGAAGATAGACGAAGAAAGAAAGAAAAAAAAAGTGAAGAGACGTCATGTTAGAGTTAACAAAGGAGAACGTTATCTCTCTCTCTATTGGGTTGTTTGTTTGTAAAGAACAAAATTATGTTTAATTATTTAAAATTTTGGTAAGATTAATTAAAAGGCTAAAAACTCAAACGAGGTTCTGTAAGTGTGTTGCATGGAAAAGACCCAATATGGGGAGAGGTTTATAATTTGTTTTGTGAGTTCAAAATAAACAAATTGACCTGGGAAAAAAATTTATTTTATGGGTCAATGGACCGTTGTCATTGTTGACAAATCCAAATACATTACAAAGAAATTTCAATTTTATTGGTTGTCAAATCCAAATACATTACAAAGAAATTTCAGTTTTATTGGTTGTCATCAATGAAATTATGAACCCTTATCCCTCTTACTAGGCCCGCCATTAAAAACACCAACACCAACACCAATGACGTTTCTTAGTAGATAAGGATCAAGGATGCTCTGCATCACACATCAAGCTTATAAAACATATCCTGTTGCATGTCTGATCTCTTTATTCCACCTGGTAAGATTTGTGCAGTGAGTTTAGGTTTGAGATGGCATGTTTTCAAGCACGTCTAGATAGAATCGAGTCTCAGAGGTTTGTTTCTCTGCGTGACGAGAGGGGACCATCTAATGGAGGCATCGAACTTGTGGCAAACACCGAATCTGTGGCAGAGTTCCTTACCAATCTCAGATTAGAAGATCTTTTCAATCTCCCTAGTGGATATGTCCAGATGGATCCGGAAACTTTTTGCGGAGTGAGTGGTGGGAACAAAGAATGTGTGGAGAAGTTGAGAAGTCTTGAAATGGCACGTCTCGAGAGCCATAATGGAGATTCTGTTCTTCATCTTGCTGCCACATGGGGTCATTCAGAATTAGTGAAGAGCATTGTCTCTGAGTGTCCATGCCTTGTGTTGGTGCCAAACTCGAAAGATCAGTTTCCCCTTCATGTTGCGGCTTATGCCGGCCATTCAGCTGTTGTTGAGGTTCTTGTTGCGACATTAACTTATGTTTCAGCTAAAGTGTCTGAAGAAAAGAAGGAGAGGCTGAATCTATATGTTGTCAAGGACAAAGATGGAGATACTCCTCTGCATTTGGCGTTGAAAGGACGCTATATGGAGATAGCTTCCTCCCTGGTGAAGGCGAACAACCAAGCTTCGTTTCTTGCGAATAACGAGGGAATATCTCCCTTGTATATGGCCATAGAAGCTGGAGATTTATCACTTGTGAAAGCAATTTTAGACATTACGGACGACGATGGCCTTGAAAGGGAGAAGTGTAGCTTAGATTCAAAGTTGGAAGGGAGAAAATATCTAGCACACGCTGCTTTGAAGGCTGAGAGTACAGGTTTCTTTTGCCTTTTACCAATTTTGTTTGTTCAAATTTCTATAGTTTCTCTGTCTCCTAATACTAGATGTTTTGGAAACTTTATCTATATTCTAATAAAACAAAAGCACTAAAAATGCTTGCATACAAACACTCCCAAATATTTTCAAAAAAAATTATTGATAAATTATTTTAAAATTACTTTATTTTGTTGTAATATTATTTTTAAAAAAATATATATTTTCGTTTGCATATAAATCTATCCCAAAAATTAGATATTAATTATCTTAAAGAAGCTCGTTTATAAGCTACAAAATTAATTCCAAAAATATCTTTTACTATTTTTTTTAGTTTATAAGCTACAAATTTTTTTTTTTCATGTTACTCATGTTAACTTAATGCACAGAATAACTATTATTAAAATATTGTAGTTATACAGAATATTCATGCTTTAATCATGTATAATAGTCATGCTTTAATTATTGTAGTTTCGTAGTACCATTATTTTGTGTTTAATACACTACAAAAAAACATCAAAAGTTCCAACAAATAATTTCAACGATAGTAATCATCAGAAAAATTCCAACAAAAATCTTACAATATTTTAACAAAAATTAATATCGTTGAAAACTCGTCACAATATTCTAACAAATATGAGTTATCGAAATTATGTCAGACATTCGTTAGTAAATTGTCAGAAATTTCTAACAAAAAGAAAATCGTCAAAAATTACTAATGACAATTAAGTTGTTTAAAATTACAGATATATTATTCGTCAGAAATTTATCAGTTCGTCGGCAGGCTTGATTCCAACTATTTGCAGACAAAATTTTTGTTGGAATTGTTCTGAATATCTTTATCCCTAAAAGAATATTGAAATTGAAATTGTCAAACTGATTAAACTGCTAGGTCAATTAGTTAGTGTTTTTATGATGAATTATATGAATATAATATTAATTTTCTTCAGAATAATATATAAAATACATAGAATATACCTAATATAATGATAATACTAAAATTTAAAAATTGTTAATTGGAAACTAACTAGCTATTATAGATAAATAATTTATTCTATATGACTATTCTACATGACTATTCTACATGACTACACTAATATAACAATAGTTATTTAATACATTAACCTAACGTGAGTAACATGAATAAAAAATTACTAGTAGCTTATAAACTAAAAATATTAGTAAAAGATTTTTTAGTTATAAATTTGTAATCTAGTGATTAATTTCTTGCTAAATGAAAATATAGTTTTTATTTTTTTTTCTCCTAAACTATGGTTTTTCTTTTTTTTTTTTAATCTAGACATAATTTTTCTCTCTTTATAAACTTTTTAAGATTGGAAACCAATTATAATTTTTAATTAAACATGTGTTAAAATCTGATTGATTTATTTAATACATCTCACGATCATGCAAGTTATCAATTTTAAATCTTTATACTTTGTATAATAAAATAAGATGATTGGATGATTTAAATATTATAAATGATATTTTTAAAGAACAATAATTTCTTAATCTCCATACTTTTAACTTAAACATATTATATTATGAAATAAATTGAGTATTTCCATACTATTATTTAAACAACTATTGTTTTTTCAAATATTATTTTATAAATTATTACATAAAATATCATTACAAATAACAAAAAATAATAAAATAGAAAAGTTTATAATTGTCTTTGAAAATATTAATAAAAATATAGAAATTTTTTTTTATTTCTTATTTAATAGAGTATATTTTATTTCAAATGATATCATAAATTATAGTTATTTTAAAAGACATGAAAAACAAATATTTTCTCAATTAAAAATTTATAATATTAAAAAGTGGTAAATTTTATTTTTACTATAATTTTCTAAATTTTACTTGATTATATAAAATAATTTTAAAACCCTTTTTACCAAAATTGTAAAACGAAAAATTGATTTGTTTTTGAAAAATTAAATTTTGTGGTGAAATAAAGTCATGAAACGGTACATATTATAATTGATGTTTTTTAAGATTACATTTTAATCCAATGCAAAACGGGTTAGTATGGTATTTAAGGATTTTCGGTCCTCGAGTAGGGGTTAGTCTCTTGCAAAACAGAAAAAAATGTGTGTTTTCCGAAGGTTCTCCAAAGCTCAAGTCAGAAAACAGCTCAAAAAGACCACTAAGCGGCTAATCGGAAAGCAGAAAGAAGTCAGAAAACAAATGGAGGAAAGCGGGCCGAGAGTTCTTGAGAATGGTAGAATCTGCTCATGCCTTTTAACGAGAGTGGACTTTTTTGGTGAAAAGAAAGGAAAAAAAGAATTCGAAGGTAGAAATGCTCCACGTTTTAGGAATCACCATGGAGGAGAAGTGAAATGAAATGACCGGAAAGTTGGCCGGGAAAGTGTAGAACGTCTGGACTTAAGAACCAACAATATCTGGAAAAATATCGTGAGACTTAAGATGACTGAGAAAGTGAACCCCTTCGCGGGTTAGCAAAGCTAACCCGTGATGTAGAAGTTATTTTTGCCGGAAACAAACGTTTACCCCTCTCATTAGCCGTACGTGGCAGGGCATCCGCCTGAAGCGCATAACGTTTTTTGATGAAAGACGTGTTGCCTGAGTCACCCTTTGACCTGAGGCGCGTGAAGCATTTTTGATGAAAGACGCGATGCCTGAGTCATCCGCCGTGGGCAGCATGGCCTGGGTCCGTGAGCCCAAACGAAGGACGTGTTGTCTGAGTGAGACACCGTGGGTGATATGACCTGGAACCGTGGGTCACAAAGGATGCGATGCCTGAGTCACCTGCTATGGGCGAAGTGACGTGGAGACGTGGGCTCGTAACATGAAGACACAGTTCCTACAGGGGATGTCGCCCGGCTAGCCCAGTTACCCTTCAGTCGATCCCTTAGAGATATCCAGTTATCTAAAAGAGATTCGTCCACCACGAAAGTATATTGAACTGACAGGCCAATCGGCAAAGGGAGCCAGACCTACGCTGTGGGATGCGAACCCGACAAGGTTCCAAATGGACAATCATACAGTTCGCAGAGCGGCATGCCTCCGGGTGGCACGATTAAAGGGTGTCATTCCTAGGACACGGCATCAATGGACAGGCTAACCCTCCACTATGCTGGCCTTGTCGGGGTAAACACCCGAATAACATAACCAAGATTCTTCAGGAAAATCAGAGAGGCACATTTGGTGGCGAGATAACCGCGTGGGAGAATTCCTTCTTTTATTTCTGTGATTCATTCTCCTCCATTATTTTTCTTCCTATTTATGTTTATTTCCTTTCTCTAGACAGATGTTACTTCTTGCATTCAACCTTCTGTGCGTGATAGGGCACCCACTGGTTGTCGCTTCACTATCCATTCTACGTCTTTTTTCTGCATCGCAACCGTCCATATTCGTTCGTTGCTTCGACATGTGTACTTCGACCTTATAAAGTTATCATCAAACTCCTTGGGGAACTCTCTCTCTTTGCTGTTTTACCTTTCTTCCTAAGGGGATCCTTGACTCTCTTAAGCCCACCTTCTCTCTTGGGTGTCCACGTGGCCTCTTACAGTTGGCTGTCTTTTTAACTTTCACTACGACGGTTATCCATATAAGCGGCGTATTCCTCTATTTCCTATTTATCCTATTCTAACATCTTCGCATTCGCCTCCTCTTCTCTCTCATGTTTCTCCGTTTCTCCATCCTTTTTTTAGCTAACATGTCTTCTCCCAATGATTCTTGTAACGGCGGCCCCTCCCTCTAATCACAGTATTTCGAGATGTTTATTATGCATGTCGGGCCAGAGCTTGCCCCTGGACCTGAGTCTACCCCTGCAGACCCGCCGAGGGGGTATATAACCGTTTTCTTGCCTTTCACCACTGTTGGTTTCCGGCAGAACCTGTTCTTGGCTTATGGTCGATGTCTGCCAACTGTTAGCCCTCGCCTCCAGTCAACTAGAGTTGCAGACGTGGGGTTTAATCCACACCTTACAAGTCCTCTACGATCTCTTCGAGATAGCCATTACCGGAGAAATGGTACTGAATGCCATTCGTGCCTCTCGCTGGGGCTACGACTCCTGCCGGTTTGACCTGGTTTCTCAAGAATGCCGTCATTCTCCAATCGAACCCCCCAATTTGCAGGAGTCGTTCGGTCTGACTGGACTCCTTCTGGTGAGCATTTTCGATCTTCACCCCCCCCATTTCAATATTGTTTACTATTTTCTTACCTTTTTTTATTGTTCCGCCTTCTCTAGGTTCTTTTCCCGAAACACGCGATCTCGTCGCCCCGTACCCTGAGGCTCTCTTCGATTTAGACGAGGAGTTAAAGGGATTCGGCTTTTCTGCTAAACCCCGTGTGGTGGATGACACTTTGATCAACTCCTGCCTCGAGTCTCCTTTTGTTCCTCTTGGTAATATTTTTCCCCTTCTGTTTTTTTTTTCGATCGCTTCTAGTTCCTCCGTTGTCGCTAACAGATTTCTCCTTTCTCTGAGATCCTCAGAGTCATTGGATGCCTTGTTGGCGGCTTGCGTTAAGTACAATGGTCTCCACGTCGCTCTCCTTGACCTTTTCATCTATTTTACGTTCTCGTTGTCGTTGTCTCCTTTTGTGGAACTTTTGTATTTGCTATCTAGAACTTTTCTTTACGCTTATCTATTTAGATCAGCACGTTCCTACTGCCCCTTTCTCCTTTCCTTTTCGTATAGATATATTTTTTTATTTGTCGTATCGATTTGGATCCTTGAGCATAACCGGATTTTCGTCGAACTGATTTGCCGCAATCTCAGATCCCTTCTTTTTATGTGCGGTTTCCGTTCCGAGAGGGGGGGGGGATTCTTCGGATCGCCAGATGTTTCGGTCTTGTTTGTTTTTCTCTTTGAGCTCGTCGCCTGTTGCTAGTATTGGGTCATCGCGTGGATCCCGCTTTTCTTTCATCTCTGGGTCATTTCCCCCAATTCTGGGTCTTATGGTGGTTTTCTGACTTAGGAAAGGGAAGTTTGTTTTGCTTCGAGAGTGTTGCCCCCCTCTCTCTAGCGCCAAACGGTTTAGGAGATTTTTGGTCTTTGAGTAGGGGCAAGTCTCCTGCGAAACAGAAAAAACATGAAGACCTGGAAAACACGATGAGGGTGTGTCTTCTGAAGGCTCTCCGATGCTCAAGTCAGAAAACAGCTAAAAAAATCACTAAGCGGCTAATCGGAAAGCAGAAAGAAGTCAGAAAACAAATGAAGGAAAGTAGGTCGAGAATCCTTGACAATGGTCGGATCCACTCAGGTCTTTTAATGAGAGTGGGATTTTTTGGTGGAAAGAGAGGAAAAGAAGAATTTTAAGGTAGAAATGCTCCACGGTTTAGGAACCGCCATAGAAAAGAAATGAAATGAAATGAACGAAAAATTGGTCGGGAAAGTGTAGAACACCTGGACTTAAGAACCACAAGTATCTAGAAAGATATTGTGAGGTTTAAGATGTCTGAGAAAGTGAACCCCTTTCCTGTAGGAAAAGGTAAAGTATTTATAAGAAGTTACTTGACCTGGGTTAATATACCGGGTCGATCCATGGATGACGAATTGGATGGATCGACCCATGACCCGACTTGACTATGTTCGAATCTTGTGATGGCGTCACGCTTCTCATGACCTCACCAACTTTCTTTGGCATGTTCTGCCTGCAACTTGACCGTCCGTTGGCAGGTTCCTTTTGTTCTCAGTGTATGAGTTGGGTCGGCGGCTCAGACACAATATGGCTCTTTGCTGAACCTTTGCTTTTCCTCCTAGCTCTTGCGAAAACTCACTAACACCTGAAAAACGCATTAAATACCAATCTCGTCGGTTTATAAGGGTATGGGTAATCAAATCAAACTGAAACATATTCTCTTTGTTGAATAGAGAGAATTTTGTATAGCGTTCCTGCCCAAGTTGTTCATTCATACTTGGCCTGGATCCCTCGATACTGGGACCATATTGGGACCGGGCTACCGCAGATGGATGACCTCGCCCTCCGGATACCTGTGTGGGCGACTCTTCCTTATATCCTGACCCTTCCGGATCACCGAGCTTAGATCTAGGACATAGAGAATGTGACCTTTTCTCCTCTTGACCACTCAGTTTTCGAGTTCCTTGTTCCTGACAGTGTGACATACGCTGTCAAATACGAAGAGTCCAGGAACAGGTGGCCTATCGTGCTGGATCTCCCGAATCCGAATGGATTCGAGACCCGATGCTATAAGCTTAGGCCGCATTGGACCCGATGCCCAATACGTATCCTCATTTGGCTCGGACAGTCATACCTGCAAAAAAGCTATAGACACACATGCAAGCATGCGACTGTCCACGTAGAAATGATCAAATTTATCTCCAACATGTAGTATGAACGCCATATGCATAATTCAAAATATCTATTCTATTAAAACAGAATTACATTTAGTGCTTGCATCCAAACACTCATAAAGTTTTTTTTATAATATTTTTTTTTATTTTTATATTTAATTTTTGAAAATTAGTTATTAATTTAGATATTTTTAGATTTTTTAAAATCTAGGTCATCTTTAATTTAAATTTCAAATTATTAGAAATTTAATTAAATTTAGTTACAAAAATTTGCATTCAATTTAATTTAAATTCAAAAAATTCAAAAAAAAATTGTAATTAAATTTTATCACGAAAATTTAGATAATAATTTTAATACTTTAGAATTTCTTAAATACAGGAAAGATTTAATATAAATTTTAAATTTAAATAAAATTTTTATAAAAATGCATACTAAATAAATATTTTATCGTACTTTATCATAAACAATCGGTCTAAAATATCAAATATTTGAGATTAATAAATATTATTATACAATAATATGATCGAACTGATTAGAGTTATATATATATATATATATATATTTAAGATCCATGAGTTAATTTATTAAAACATGTAAGATATTAAGATGATTTGAGATAATTAAACTAACAGGTTAGCCTATTTATATATATATATATACATTTTTTTAATACAAATAGTAAATAAATATCTTATTATATTTTTTTCATAATCAATTGGTCCAAATATTCCATATTAGTACATATTTATAAGGTTATACAATTATAATTATAGTCTTATACGTGTTAGTTTGTCAAAACATGTAAGATATTAAAAATGACTTAAAACAACTAAACGGATGGATTAACAAATTCATAGATATATAGATTGTTTATGTGTAAATCTAAATTCACATAATAACAAAGTTTATAATTAACATTAGATCAATGTATACTTAATTAACGTATACTCTTATTCTACTAATATACAAATTTTACTGTTTAAAATTAAAATATGATAACAATTTTTGATTTAAAAAAATAAATAACAAAATAAATTATATCTAAACAAAAAAAAGATAAATACAATTTATATTAGAAATAAAAAAAATAAAACATTCCCGTGCGTCCGCTAAGTTTACTAATTATTATGATTTGTCTTTTAAAATTAACTATATTTTGTTGTATTTTTTATTTGAGTATATATTAAAACTAAATTAAAAATATTATACTACTTTCATAAATAGCTAAACTTGATAAATTTTTTTTTTTTTAATAATTCGTGGATTGACCATTATTAAGTAGAGTTGCGACCATTAAACTCAGTTATTAAGTAGACTTGATGATTAAAAAATTTAAGTGTTTTTTGTCAATTAATCTGAATAATATTTTAATTCATTGTTAATTGGTTAAATAAAAAGCTTTTTTTTTGTTTTAACCGTACTGTTTATTATCATATATTAAAAATATTATAAAATTTTTTAGTCATCAATAATTAAATTTTTATTTGATGGATGTAAAATTTATTTGTGTGATGTTAATATATGTATATTTATATATACAAAATTAATTTATCAAAATTTTGAAAATAATTTTTAAAATAATATTTAAAATATTATAATTCTGCATATTATGTGGATTAATTCCTAGTTAGTACTTCAACGGATATTCATAGATATACTGTACTAGTAATTTATGTTTCCCAATTGCTTGAGCAGAGATCCTTGATGTTATTCTAAAAGAATATTCAAGTCTTGAGGATGAGCGAGATGAAGAAGGAAGGACTTGTCTTTCATTTGGGGCATCCATAGGGAATTATGAAGGAGTGCGCAAGCTCTTAGACCGACCAACAAAGAACGTTTATGTGTGTGATGATGATGGTTCATTTCCAATCCATTTGGCTATGGAGAAAAACAATAGGAAGATTGTTAAAGAGTTTATAGAATGTTGTCCAGATTCAAAATACTTGCTTAACAAACGTGGTCAGAACATACTCCATATTGCAGTACAGATGGGGCACAAAATAAACTTTCTGGGTTTTGATGTGATAAAACTTCTGGGTCTTGGGCAAGATGTGGATGGGAATACGCCTTTGCACATTGCCACCAAAAATTGGTTCGCTGAAACCGTTGATTTACTTACTACTGATGAAAGGGTACTGCAACTACGGAACAAAAGCGGGTTGAGAGCTCAGGATATTGCTGAGACAGAGTTGAAACCATACTACATCTTTCAGCAGGTATGTCTGATATATATCATAGAACGCATTTATGATTTATATACTAACTTGACCATTGTTTTGGATTAAAGAGGTTGACATTGGCATACTTAAAATATGCTACTCGCGGCATAAAGGGTTATGAAAAGATAAAGTCGATGAGAAGACCAGCAGAGCCACTAGCAGATGACAAAGAGAGGGATTACGTCAACACTTTTCTACTGGTGGCAACTCTTGTAGCCACCATGACGTTTGCTGCAGGTTTTACAATACCAGGTGGCTTTACCAGCTCCAACCCGCATTTGGGAAGAGCAGCTTTGGCCACTAACCCAACTCTCATACTTTTTCTGCTATTTGACACCTTGGCATTGGTATGCTCGGTTGCAACAATAGCTATACTTATTTGGGCGCAAGTGGGTGATCCAGCACTCCTCCATGCATCCATAGACGTGGTCTTGCCTTTAATGCAATATTCTCTGCTATCCATGCCCTTGGCATTCTTTTTTGGCGTAATTACTGCAGTTGGGCAAGTGAAATGGCTTGTAGCCATCTTTTCCATGAGTGCTTTTGCCTTCTTCTGCTGGGTGCTTTTTCTCGTTGCCCCTCACGTCATGCTAAAGCGGTCAAACTCTGCTGCCGTGGATTATGGTTTTCTTTTCTGGTTGATGATGGTGTTTAGACGTCTGCATCTTAACATACCTAATGATGAAAAGATTTCGAGGCTTCGTCTGTCACGGACGGTGTCAACAAGCAAGCAAGTAGCTTAATTACGAGAGATTTTCCCTTGTTGTAACCATATCCATGCTTTCATCATTTCAAAGTTAAAAGGCTCATACTTTGGTGGCACTTTTATCATTTCAATGTTTTGACTCTTTGTTGTTTCTGCCTTCAACCGCTTTCAATTGAATACAAGAAATAATAAGGCAACAAGGTCAAAGCTTTAACATCAAATATATATATACATGAGAGTAGTCTAAGATGATATTTTGATGACAAGTTTCGTATCCAACAATACAGTCTCCCCCCAAAGCAAGTAAAGAAGAGTTAAATCTTATCTCTACTTTTCCCAAGTTGATTTCTTCTTTCCTTCCTAAAACTTTATCCAATGGTACTACTACTAGGCATTATCCAGCTTGTTTCATACCCAATGCCCACGTTGTCTCCACGATGCCGCTTCTTCATCGATGCAGCAGAAACTGAGCTCCCATTGGTGGCTGAAGTCAGAGAGCTCTCTACTGAACAGTTGGTTGTGATGTTGTTGCTTTTATGGTCTATTGCTACTGCGAGCTCCGACAAAGATGGCATCATCATCATCTTTGTTGCGTCGAAGAACGGGACAGTTGTTCCTTGAGTGCTATTGGAGACTTTGATGGCCAGCTCCGATAGCTCTTCCCTAGCTGCCTCAAGCCCGGCAAAAGCAGCAGCTTGATCGTCAAAGGCCTTGCAAGCTTTCTCAAGAATTGATTGCAGGTACTTTCCTTGTGCCTCTATCCTCAGCTGGAGTCTCCGTTGCACCTGACCATACTAAAAGACCAATCAAAAAAGGTTTGCACTTTTTGCAGAAACTCCAAGAAAAGTTATGACCATTGATTCAGTTCCAATGGCACATTTGTTCAAACAAGGATCACTGTTTATTTGTACAACCGAGAAAGAAGAATATGGGCAATAATAACCACATCCTAATTTTTGGATTGGGAACTTGGGATAATGGTTCTAATGTGATTTGTAGCATTTTGAGTCACATAGTTTATAAACAGGGTTGTTTGTATCGTCAAGAACAACAGCAAGAGAAATGAAGAAAACTAACCTCCAATTGTTCGTGTAGCCTTCTTTGGACTTCCATCTGAGCGCGTAAAGCTTCAGTGACTTGGTAACCCCTGGATCGCAAACAAATAAGAAGGGTTCATACAAATGTAGTAGCAGAAAAGCTGTGGAAAAATACAATGTAAACCATACTCGTTCTGCTCCTGCGCTGCCATTCTCAGTGATGATGATGAAGATGAACCTGTGTCCTGACTCTCCCCAACACAAGAAGCTGCAGAACCAAGTTCACATAATTAGTGGAAATCATGAGATATTAATACACAACTGGGATCATCAAAACAGGATTCCCAAATATGGACACAAATAGCCACTTTAAAAACAGAAAAGTAGACACACAAAATAAGGTCAACTGAATAAATACCATCTTTGGAGTTCTCAGTTGATTCTTTGCAAGCTTGCCTCCCTAGGCGGAATTTCTGTCAAGCAGAACACAAACAAAAGAGAGAAACATAACACCATCAAACACCCATAAAATCTTTAAATTATTGCTGCTATATCATGTTGAACCTAAGGAGCTATAACTCCAGCCTAAAACTATAAAAAACTCTTATCAGATCTCAGAATCTAAGGTGTTATCTCATCAACCCAATAGCCCTGGGAACGGTTAATTAGAAGCCATAACTCTGGATTAAGTTCGAACACGGTAAAACGAGTAAGTAAAACAGACAAACCTGAAGATGTGATTTGAGGTGGTAGAGGGTGAGGCCCTTCACTCCCATTGTTCTCATAATAGTTTTGGGAGTTGCTTCTGCAAGATGAATCAGACAGAGAGATTCATAAGGATCTCCATTAACAAGTGTGAGCAAAAAAAAAAGACAAAACTTTGAACAAGATGTGCCCGTTTAACTATAGGCAAATCATAAGCTTCAGATTTTCAGCGACGATACTGACACTGCTTAATTACTCTGGACTATAAATCTAAAAAAAAAGGAAATAAATTTATAGACTTTAGCATATCTTTCTATTTTGGGATGCACAGAGAATGTAAAGGAGCTACTTGTATAAAGATCTCCCAAGAACCTTATTCTAAGTCTCAAGAACAATAAAACTTCACCAAATCAAGCTAACTAAACTCTGAGGGAAAAACCCATCTAATACAGAGCACTGAAAATAACCAAAAACCCTCCAAAAATCCGCAAAATTGTACAATAAACTCAGTTTCGTCTCACACTCAGAGATCCAGAAATGTTTTGAAAAAGACAGTAAGAAATCAGAGAGACAGAACCGAAAGGTACTACAATCAATAAGTAGACAAGAACACTCACTGTCGGGACCACCGAGCTGCGTGACGGCGTCAACGAACCTCTCATGGAGCTCGGAAGTCCACCGGAGACGAGGCTTTGGGTCAGTGGTTAAGACCAAACAAGCGTCGCCGGGAAGATTGGTTCCGTCCAGAGGTCCATGATAGTCACCGGAGTGGCCACCGTCGAGCGGAAGCGAGCGAATCGCCGAGTACATTTCCCAATTTTCGTCGCCTGTTTTCCCGGGAAAGTGAAAGGAATAAGTTTTCAGGGGAAAGAAAATTTGGGTGGTATGCAGATTGTGGGAGTTTCGGATCCGGGTCAAACCGGGTCAGGGTCCGGACTTTTATTTTTTAGACAGCGAAGAGACGGGTGGATAGATTTGGACGGACCCTCTCTGTTATGCGTGAACAAAGAGGGAACATGTTTGTAATCTATTAATAATTTGTCAATATAAGAGGTACTTTGATTAAAGTATTAATTAATTTCTCTTTAATTTAATCATCATTTAAAAAAAATGATTTGTTTACGATGATATTATTTGTTTTATAAACTATAGATAACCCTAGAAAAAACAAACTTAGAGAAACGATTGAGGGGTAGTAGCTAGGTGTAGAATTAGGAAGAACTGTGTGTGTTCCATTGAACGTAATTACAAGGTATATATACATCTTAGAGAGTCGGTGTAAGCACCAGAGAATATAGGAAAGATGCCTAAAATATATACAAGAGATATATGTTAACATATTCGTATATATCCTAAAGATATTCTCCAAGATATGCCGTGATATACTCCTCCGGCCAATACTCCCCTTCAAGTTGGAGCGTGCAGATTACAGACGCCCAACTTGGACACTAAGTTGTTGAACTGAACTTTACCCAATGCTTTAGTTAAAACATCTGCCAGCTGCTCCGTAGTACGAACATGAACCGTTTGAAGTACTCCTTCCTTAATGGCATCTCGAACTCGATGGCAATCAACCTCGACGTGCTTAGTTCGTTCATGGAAAACCGGGTTCGCAGCAATGTGAATTGCGGACTTACTGTCACAGAATAACCGAGCTGGCTGTATAGGTGGAAAACCCAAGTCTGTAAATAACTGACGAAGCCATTTAATCTCACGCGTAGCCGTAGACATGGCGCGGTATTCCGCCTCTGTAGAAGAATGAGAGACGACATCTTGTTTCTTGGTCTTCCATGAGATGGGAGAACCTCCAAGTAATGCAACATAGGCCGTTAAAGAACGTCTCGTCAAAGGGCAAGCCGCCCAGTCGGCATCACAATAAACCGAGAGCTGAAGGTCTGACTCAGAACGCAGCAAAATGCCTTGGCCGAGTGTCCCTTTTAGATAGCGCACTACTCGTAAAGCGGCGTCCCATTGTCTCTCTCGAGGCTTCTGCATAAACTGTGAAAGAATGTGGACTGAATAACAAAGATCCGGCCTTGTGTTACCCAGATAAATGAGACGCCCAACTAATCGTCTGTAGCGCGTAGGGTTAGCCATGAACGCACTTGTATCAGACGCCAAACGATGATTTTGTTCCAAAGGAGTAATAGCTGGCTTTGAACCAAGCAAACCTGTCTCTGTGATGATGTCTAAAGCATACTTCCGTTGTGTTAACATTATCCCTTCCTCACTGCGAGCAATTTCAATACCCAGAAAATACTTAAGTTTGCCCAAATCCTTCATATGAAACAAACGACCTAGGTACTCCTTAAACTTTACAATTGCAGTATTATCATTTCCGCAAATAACCAAATCGTCAACATAAATAAGCACTCGAATCTCAACTTCACCGCGAGAGTAGGAGAACAACGAGTAATCAGCGTATGATTGAACAAAACCTGCTTTTGTAAGAGCTGTAGTAAGCTTTTCATACCAGCAACGTGGAGCCTGACGTAGACCATATAGAGACTTGTGCAATCTACAAACTTTGTTCGGATCCGAATGAGAAAACCCTTGTGGAAGTTTGATGTAAACTTCTTCCTGCAAATCGCCGTGAAGGAACGCGTTGTGAACGTCCATTTGGTGAACCTCCCAGTTTTGTGCTGCAATAATACGAAGTAAGCTCCTTACGGTGGTCATCTTGACGACGGGTGCAAACGTCTCGTCGTAATCAATACCTTCGACCTGACGATTACCAAGTACCACCAAACGTGCTTTGTATCGCTCAACACTACCATCTGAGCGATACTTAATTTTATACACCCACATCGTTCCTAGAGCCACTTTACCCGGAGGCAAATCAACAACACTCCAAGTCTTGAGATCCTCAAGCCAATGTACCTCGGTCCCCATTGCATTTCGCCATCTTTTATCACGAACTGCTTCACTGAAGCTACGTGGCTCAACATCTGCAGTAATGGCTGCGAGAAAAGCCTTATGGCTGACAGAAAACCGCTCATCAGAGATAAAATCAGTGAGGGGGTACAGAGACATACCTTGAACCGTTTCGGGACTGGAGCTGAGCCGAGCCGGTGGAACGTGATTAGTGTCATTACGGATGGCATTATATGTAACGAAGTCCCTTAGCTTAACAGATTTGATCTTTTCTCGACAACCACGACCCAAATTGTCTCCATCAGATGTCGCAGGAGTGGCGTCTGCTGGTAACTCCACAACAGGACCAACTTCCAAAATGGCTTGATCAAGTGCAGCAGGAGACGACGGATCGACAGAGGATGAAGACACAGCTTCAGGTGAATCGGGAGATGTATCCGATGTACCAAGCTCACTCCCCCTGCTTTCGAAATTCCTGGAAGGGCACAAAACCCAGTCTTCATCAGCCGCTTCTACCATGATAGAAGGGGACGACACCGATGAAGCAGTACTCGCAAAGGGGAACTCTGTTTCCTTAAATATCACGTCTCTTGAAATAAAGAATTCCTCAGTATCCAAGTCGTATAGCTTCCATCCCTTTTCCCCAAAGGGATAACCCACGAAAATACATCTCCGGCTTCGTGATACAAATTTATCGGGATCATGCTTGTGAGCGTAACAGAGAGACCCAAATACTCTTAGACGATCATACGAAGGTCGTTGGGCGAACAAGACTTCATGAGGACACAGTCCATGAAGTACTTTTGAAGGAGTGACGTTGATAACATGTGCAGCGGTCAAAATAGCTTCACCCCAGAATTTTGTTGGTAAATGTGCTTGAAACAACAAAGAGCGTGCAACATTCAAGATGTGGCGATGCTTTCTTTCCACTCTGCCGTTCTGCTGCGGCGTTCCAATGCATGACGTTTGATGCACAATTCCTTTTTCACGAAAGAAAGAAGAAAGACACATGAACTCCGTGCCGTTGTCGCTACGAACTGTTTTAACTGTTTTTCCAAACTGTTTATCCGCATAAGCACAAAAATTTTGAAGCAAATTTCGCACTTCCGATTTCTCAAGTAGCAAATACGTCCATACGGCCCGAGAAAAGTCATCTACGATAGTCAAAAAATACATTGCACCATTGGTTGCAGGAACACGGTATGGACCCCAAACATCAACGTGGATTAGGGAAAAACATTCTGTAGTTTTATTTGAACTATCAAAAAACATTTCTCTAGTTTGCTTAGCCCGAAAACATGTGTCGCAAGGACTGGGACTAGCAGAAACAGAAACACCAGCAAAAAAAGGTAAAGACGATAACACAGAAAACGCAGGATGACCCAATCGCTGATGCCACAAGTCTTGATCACTAGAAGCAACTGTCTTGTTGACACAAGCTATGTTGACATCCGTAAAATAGTAGACACCATCACGTTCTTCACCGGCTCCAATCAGGGTCCTCAAAAAACGGTCCTGCAATACGCATAAGGTATCAGTAAACAACGCGAAACAATTGGAATGTTTCAAAAGCTTTGAAACGGAGATTAAAGTGCAATTGAGATCCGGCACATATAACACATTCATCAACGATATTTGACTAGTAAGTGGTAATACGCCCACTTTAGAAGACACGGTAGTGCTTCCATCTGCAAACTCAATGTAACAAGTCGAAGCATCTTCAAGATTAACAAGCATAGATAAATCTCCTGTCATGTGGTGTGATGCCCCTGTATCGAGGATCACATCACCGTTTTTCTTACCAGCAAGTTTATCAGAACTACCTCCAGATTTCTCATTGATGATCTGAGAAATCGCCTTCCACTGTTCCGGAGTCAACTCCGGCGTCACCGAAGCTTGAGGACTTGAAGCATAAGCCACGTTTGCTTGTCCTCTTCCTCTGCCACCACTGCGACCACCTCCTCTGTTCACACCACGTCCGCCTCGACCTCCACGCTCAGAAAACCATTCAGGATAACCAACTAGTTGCCAGCAAGCACTCTTTTCATGTCCGCTCCTTCCACAGTGTGAGCACAACCGATCTCGATTTCGACCTCCACCTCCTTGTTGCAGGAACTGAGCACCATCTTTATTTCCTGCCTCATCTTTTGTCTGCTCACGCCGTGTCAGAAACCCCACAGCCTCTTGCTGTTGTTCACGAGCTCTGGCCGAGTTAAGGCGATCCTCTTCGCGAATCACCTTTGAGTACACCTTACCCAGATCAGGCAACACATCCGCTTCAATAATCGTTGTCACGACATGTCCGAATCTGGATTCATCGAGTCCCATCACGAACTGATGAACTCGTTCATCTTCTCATTCTTTTTTCATACGCTGCGGCTGCTGCACAAGTACACACAGGTGGAGGTTTGTACGTCTGCAATTCTTCCCACATCTTAGCGAGCCGCCCATAGTAATCAATCACCGCTTGACCATCTTGTCGACAAGATGCCAATTTAGCCATCAACTGGTGCACACGCACCTTGTTTCCAACTGAGAACTGTTCCTTGAGATTTTCCCACAACTTGTGAGCATCGGTGATAAACGTCACTGTCGACCGCACCCTTGGTTTAATTGAGGTACGTATCCATCCCACAATCATGGAGTTCACGCTGAGCCATGATTCTAGGTCTGGATGACCTTCCGCTGGTTTCTTCAACGTGCCGTCGATGAAACCCGTCTTTCTCTTTGCCTGAAGTGCATTCAACATCTCCGTCGCCCACTCGTTGTAATTGTCACCCTTTAACTGCACCGACGTAATCATCGCACCAGGGTTATCAGAGGAGAAAAGCGAGTAAGCTGACAACGTCGTGCTAGGGCTCGCCTTATCACTGGCCACCACCATCTTCTCACCGATCACGCCGGCAGAGGTTTTGTCGTCAGACATCGTTTCTTATCACGTAAGAAAGGAGTCGTAGAAATTTATTTTGAGAACAAGAGTTTATGAAAAACACCACGAAAACAGAGTCTAGATCTTTTAGAGGGATCTACGCTCTGATACCATGTAGAATTAGGAAGAACTGTGTGTGTTCCATTGAACGTAATTACAAGGTATATATACATCTTAGAGAGTCGATGTAAGCACCAGAGAATATAGGAAAGATGCCTAAAATATATACAAGAGATATATGTTAACATATTCGTATATATCCTAAAGATATTCTCCAAGATATGCCGTGATATACTCCTCCGGCCAATCCTAGGAACTATGAACTGATGAACTATTTTTTTTTCAGGCCGAAAATTTCAAAAGAACTAAAAAATATAGAGCGTTTGAAAGTTGAAAGTCAATAATTCATTATCTTAGAAACACTAATAGATTTTAGTAGATTAAACAATTCATTGCTCAACAAATCATTATACAATAATTTTGCTTCTATTATTAAGTGTCGTTACTCGTTAGTCCAACTAAAAAAAATATTTTTAAAAAATACACTATATAATATACTATGGTTCTGGACTTGGAATGACATTATATAACATGTTTTGTTTTCGAGTCTAGTTCTAAAACCTCATAGTCATATTTAAAAAAAAAAATCTGCTTTTATTTTGATTTGTTTATATACATAGATATTCCAAACTAAAATTCAAATAGTATTTAGAAATTGTAAGACAAAATTCGGATACTCTTGTATCTAAAACATACCATAACTAACAATGATTTGAAGTTTTGAACTAACAGTTAAAAAAATAAAATTGAACTCTGATCACTCAAACAACATACATAATCAAATTTTTAACTATGATATCACAAGAAAAAAAGCCGATTCCAATCCAAACTATCTCCATCCAGATTATATACAAATAATGTTGTCATGTTAATTCTTATACACAAACTATAGATGCTACGTAATTTACTGAAACGACAACATTTTTAATAAAACAATATTTCCAAGATCAAAACTATGTTGATTTAAGGGATGTATTAATCATGTTGAAGATTTTTTTTTTTAAAGAGGCAATATTTTGTTCTTCCTCGTTCTTAAGAACATCATTTTATAGGTAGTTGGGATGTCACTGATTCCAATTATAGTTATTCTTAACCTCGCTCTGATCTATTTGTTTTGGGAGAATTGGTTTTATAATGCTAATTGAATTAGAATTTGTCCCCTTAATGTTTTCTAAATAAAATTTGTCCCTTTAATGTTTAATTTAAATTTAATCAAATTATACCCTTTAATTATGAATTAATAAATTAATTTATTTTTAAAAATGTTTTATTAATAAAAAAAACAAGTAGAAAAGACTTTCTACCAAGCGTAAAAAAAAGGGAGAAACCCCGATATTCCATCTTCTTCACCGTGTGTCTCCATCTTCTCCAGTAAGAGTCACCGGCAAAAACAATTTCCTGTAAATAAAAACTTATTTGTTCTTCTTCCTCCTCTGTCTGGTCGTATTCCTCACTTTTTCTTTCAGTATTCTCATTCAATTTTGATTTTGATTCTAGGGTTTACAACAGCCAAAAAAGAAAAAAAAACGTCAAAACTGATAAAAAAACATTGAAAATTAAAAAAAAAAAAAGATTTTCGAAATATTTGAGATCTGGAAGTTAAGTAATTTTCCTAAATTTTCTCAGACTTTGGTAGAAGATGTATTCTACATTAATGTAGAATGCAGTCTAACATGTAGAAGATGCATTCTACGTTAATTAGAATGAAGTCTAACAGATAGAAGATGCATTTTACGTTAATGTAGAATGAAGTCTAACAGGTAGAAGAACCGTTTTACAATAACGTAGAACCTGGTCTAACATGTAGAAGATGTATTCTACTAACATGTAGAATATAGTCTATCTAGTAGAAGTTATAATCTATCAATCGGTAGAATATATAAAGACTTATAGAAAATAACTTCTACATGCTAATAGAATATGTGAAGAACTATAGAAATATGATTCTACGTGGACGTAGAACATAGAACATGCATTCTACTAAGCGTAGAACGAATTTTAATTATATAATAAAAATATTTTTTTTCATAAATGATAAACAAAAATATTTTTAATTCCTTTTTAGATATTTTCGAAATTTTAAAAATATTATTTTAAATTTATATTTAATTATAACTGCCATAACTGATTTAAAAAAAGACAACTATGTCAAAAAGTGACAAAAAATAGAAAACATTAAGAGGACTAATTCAATTAGCATTATAAAATCAATTCTCCCATTTGTTTTTGTATGCGTTATTTTGTCCTCTATCATTTTGAGATTTAGTCAACCTTAGTTTCCTAGAACAGAAAAACATTATAGTGTCCGGAATTTTAATACAAGCTTTTGAAGAAATGACAAATGATACGGTATGAACTTTATGTAACCTTGAGTCAATTAGTTTTTACTTAAATATCAATATCATGTATATTTTGTTTTCTTCAGAAAAGCAACTGCGGTTAATATTTTAATATGAAATGTATATAGAAATGAAGTTCTAAATCATAGGTGGTTGAAAAGAAGAATTGATAATTAACTACTATTTATAAAATTTTTTAAAAAAACTATCTCTATCCACCAACCCGTTTTTATTAAAATAATTATTGTGAAACATGCGTCCATATACTCCATAGTAACATGACTAAAGACTCTCAAGTTGCTTTCCTATTAAAAAATGAGGTAGTTTTTTTTTAAGAACAAACATGACATGATATTGCAAATAATCGCATATATGTTCCTTTCATAATTGTAAGTGTGAAAAGGAATCTAAGCTCAACTAGGGTTAAACGTTTTCATTTTTCTCATCTTAAAGTTAATAGTTATTGCCCAAATATGAATTCAAAAAATAATTTTAATCAATTGATCATGTATGTGTTTGTGACAGTATAATATGTTAAGGAGCTCCTGATTAAAACCTAGAGTTGGAAAAACTCACTTAACTTTAAATCTTAGAGTGTTATCATAAGAGAGGCGTTTTCCTGCAAACTGACCTTTTGCAGTGATAAAACCATGAAAACAACTGCTGAAAGGCCAGTTGATACATCCGAAAAATGAGCTAAATAGTGTCTGAAAATATAAATTACAAAAGAAAACCAAAACTATTAATTTCAGGGTTTTCCAAAATTTCCAAATCGCAGCCATCAATTCCTACAAGAAAAGAACATAATAGTATTGATATCTTTAAAAAAAATATATTTTTTTTCTTCTACTTTTACGGCGATTTTTGGTTGTGCATAAGAACAAGTGTTCTTGAATATAAGAATTTGATTTACCAACCCATCGATTTTTATGATATATTTTACATGTTTTGATATATAATAAAAGTACAATAAAACAAAACCATAGAAGAAGAAGTCATATAATGGATTATAAAAACTTAACAAGTTGGAGTCAAACACATGGCTTGTGAATATTTTATATTGATGTGTCTACCAACTTCGCCGATTAATACATGTTTAATTTTTGTTCTTCCTGGTATAGTATATTATTATTTTCGTTTGTCGTATTATTAAAGTTAATTGTTTTGGTCATACATTAAAGTTAGTAACTGTTAGTAATAGTTAATAACTTGTTGCAACAAAAAAAAGTTAAATAATCCTAACATAAGAGTAATATTATTATATACTAATAGATAACAACAAAATTAAATGGTCTTAAAAAGTATTTTTGAGCACTCTTTAAAGCTTTTAAAACACATATCTGAATAATAATACTTTATTTTATTCGGTGAATCCAAAAAATACGAAAATGTGTTAGTAAATATTATATCTATTTCACACGCAACTGTTCGCTATAATCGAAACAAAATCAAGGAAAGATAAAACGACAAAGACAATAGAGAGAGAGTAGTTATTAGCCATTGTTTATGCGGATCTAACTAAATTCCCCTCAACCCTCCAAAACTACTTTTAACCGTGTTCATTTTCTCTTCCACCATTTTAGTTCCGGCGACCTTTTTCGATTCTCAATGCTCCAGACTTCATATCAGTGTGGTCTGAAATTCTCAGAATTAAGGTATTGCGAGTTTTCCCTTCTTCTTTCTCTAGTATTTTATCTTAAAAATGGAGATTATAGAGTTTTAGTTACAGATGATGATGCTAATAGAGTTATAGTTGCAGGTTTAATGGCAGATCTAGAACTTCCTCAACGAATTCTTGCCGCCGATTATGTTCCAACCGGCGAGAGAGTCAACATCTACCAGAAACTATCCGTGCTCTCTGAAATCAAACATGCACTTGATGAGGAGGAACAAAAGTTCATCTACAAGAGTCAATTTGTGAAGCTGTTCGAAATTTCTGGGAAGCCTGCTTGGTCTGGTGCTTTTGCGCTCTTCACCCTGACCAGAATGCTTGAAGTCGACAAAGACAATGAAATCTGGGTGTTATTTGGGGGGGGGGGGGGGAGAAACCAATCCGATTTAGTCTTCGGGAGTTCAAAATCGTGACAGGTCTTTGTTATGGCAAATATCCACCGTCTGGGAAGAAGAGAAGAAGGGGCAATGGGGAACACTTTTACGAGCAGTTGTTTGGTGGTGCCAGAGATGTTTCTGCAGAGAAGGTGCTCCAGATGCTTCAGAATTGGTCCGTAAAAGACAGAGAGTTGAGGTTGCGATATGCATGTCTCCTCATCGTAGATGCAATTCTGTTACCGTCGGTCCATTTTCCGCGAGTTAAGATTGATGTCGACCATGCGGAGATGGTGGACGATTTAAATGCATTCATTGCGAATCCATGGGGAAGAGTTTCTTATGAAATAATAATGGAGTCTCTGCTAACGAGGGATTTTGCTCACTTCGCCACTGCTAATGTTGTTGTACAAGGATTCTTTCTGGCAATTCAGATGGTTGTTTTAGAGGCTGTCCCCACTATTGTTGAAGAAAGCGATGGGAGTGAGGATGATGATTTTGTTAGCCGTCGTGGTGGTCAGAAACTTCAGCTGTCAATGAAGAAGATTCGGTCCCTCGACGAACAAGATGAGGTAACATTCGCTAACACAGCTGTATATTTTTTCGTTAACTAAGAATGCGTGTATAATGTTAGCATGCAATAATCTTAATTGATATATAATCTGAATTGACTGTTAACTGAAGTGCACATTCAGGAAATAACGTAACCTTAGACGCATGATAACATTGTTAACGATAATGTACATATCTTGAATGTGTTAACAGGGGATGGTTATGTTGATGCAGTTATATGATTAGCATGATATCGACAATTATGATAATGTTAAAATTGTTATCATTTAAAATTATATTAGAAGTAATGATGTAATTATGTTAGTGTTGACGTTGCTTACATTCTTTTTTTTTTTTAGTAAACTGGCAAGAAGCGTTTATTATGTACACGTTGATAATACTGTTAACGGATTTCATCATTTAGTGTAGAAAACTGCTTACCTAGAGAGTGATGGGTCCACCTGTGACCAGCATTGTCGGTTGTTTGTTATACTTGATAACAATATTAAGTGGAGAGCTTTTAACTGAAATTAAATTAATGATTAGTATATAACGTTAAGTGACCGATAACAATGTTAACGAGTAGTTACATATGATGGGGTCTGTTAACTCTCATGGTTTTAGGTTGATGCGGATATAGGATTAGTTTGATATTGTTAACATTGATAATGTTGACGTTGCTGACATTAGCGTGCAGCATCCCTCTGAGTATACTACCGTGAATGATAACATCATTAATGTTATATAATCTAGTTAGCACTTTAAGTAATACCTTTTTCCTCATTTTTCATTTTAATTTACAGTTTAAAACTGTTTTCATTCTTTATAACAGGTGGAAGTCGAGATGATCATTCGCCCTGAACTCGAGTTTCTTGAAGACGCGGAAGATATTTCGTGGTCGGATGACGAAGAAGACCCTAAGGTGGAGCACATGATCAAATTGTATAATCAGGGTTTGGAGTTTTCTAAGGAGATGTTTGGACCTTGTTTGACGGCTGAACAACTTGCTACTCGTTCTAAGAAAAGACGAGTTTCTTGAAAGGTTAAGGCGGCCACTTCAAAGAAAGTCAAAGGAAAACTTAGGAAACCATCTGCTTCTCGGTCTGCTGGCGAAGGTTCTGGGAATGTTGCCATTGATCTCGATGTGATTGCTTATATGATTGACACTAAGCTAGCTTCTTTAGCTTCCTTGGTGGAAGGTAATCTGAAGAGCTATTTTTCTGATAAAATTAACAAACTGGAGAAGAAAATAGAGACGGTTGCTGCGAACCAGTCAACCGTAAACAACAAGATTGTTGTTGAGGGGGTTACGAAGTGGTTTAAGGAGAACGTTATCGTCGAAGAAGTCATCGATAATCCTGTTGGAGCCCGTCAAAGTCCAAGTGTTGTCGCCAAAGAGACTGTTCAGCCGGTTGCAAGTTAGTCGATACCGAAACCATCTGGACCGCCTCGAGGTCTATAATCTACATAGCACTCTTCTTAGTTATTTGGTCAATGTGTTTCGGTAACAAATCACTTATTTTGATTAATGTTAACAGGTCCAATTTCAAAACCGAGTCCATCTGCGGTTGGTGGTGGTAAATATCAACTTTGTCTTGATTTTGCTAATTCCATGGGATATATAAACGTAGATGGACTGTTAGTTGTTAGATTATAATTCTGAACATTTATTTTCTCTTATCAGGTACCAAGGACCCTGTTAACGAAGAACTATCCGTCGACGAAATTGCTGCTCTTTACTCGCAGACCAGCTTGAAAGATTTTTCGTCAGCTAGTGGAACTCCAACTGTTGACCCGATTGGTGATAACATTGTTAACAACGATACAGTTAACTTTACTGGTGATGGTGACAAAAGTACTCATGATAAGGATGGAGACGGCGACTCTTTCCATGATATCCCTATGCCTAATAACATAGTTGGCGGTAACTAATGCGCGGACCATGCTGATTTAATGGACGAAACCAATGTTGTAAGCGTTTTTGTTATTACAGATGTATTTAATTTTGTTTACATTGAGAAGACTTTTAAACTGTTCTTATAATATTATATCTGAATCAGGAAAACCCAAGTTGTCAGGCAACAGAAAGGGATAAGAATCCGTCACCCATGTTACCGTCGGAAGAAACATCAGGAATGGTAACACGTTTAGATTTATTTCATTCCACGGGATGTTAAAATCTGATATAACATGAAATATACTATACGTGTATTGTCTGATCAATATTTTCCAAGTTTTTGTAGCTACCAACAACAGCCCAACCGTCAGAGAAGTCTGTTCCCCCTACGTTAGCAGAAGAGGCAAAAACGGCACAGACTCCGATACCTTATTCAAATATGGCATCTGCTGAATCCGTTTTGCCGGCTGGGGGAGATACTGGCAATGTAGTTACCGCTATACACAATGAAAAGTCGATGTTATCGGGGAATGAGGCTGATGGAGTTAGTATTTTTTGTCTCGATACCCAATTTTTATATTATTCTAAATCAATAGCTCGTTAATTCTGTTGCTGTTTGTTTTAGGGTCAGCATGATGTCGATGTCAATGTCGATTTCGTTGATGGAAATGATGATGAAGTTATTATCTCTGACGTTGTTAGCGAGAAGGCCCCTCAAAAGGATGACGGCGATGACGCAACTGATGTGGAAGGTCATAGGAAAAGCAAGCGGACTAAGTTTGCTTCCACAAAGATCGATAATCGGTTCATCTGTGATAAGGGTATGAAGAGAAAAGTCTGTGGACGGCGTTGTAGAACATTACAAGGAGTCTATCAAATTGTTGAAAAGGTAATATGCTGTTAATCTTGTTTAACAGGTTAACAGATAATTTCCGATCTAAAAACTGTTAATCTTGTTTACATGTATTTTGCAGATCTCTGTCTGTGGGGGATGGGCTTGCGTTGCCAGCAAAAGATGTTACAGACATCATTGGAAGAGAGAAATGCATGTCAACTAAGGTAAATTTCCAAATCTTATATATCAGTTATGGCTCACTGAATATAACCAATTACCGTTCAAATTACGTTATCGGATAACCTAGTTAACATTACAGGTGATGGATGCTTTGGTTAAACTAAGCCGTCATCTTCTCAAAGTTGACGATCGCAAACCTCGGATTAAAGTGTTTGATACTAAGTTTGTCGCTGGACTCGTTAAATTGTTTCCCAGATTTTCAAAGGCTGATAACCGCGATGCATATCTGTTCAGCAAAGCTGTTGTGGAAAAGTTGACTGTCTTGCAACCACTTTTCACGGAGGTGGACATATTATACCTCCCTTTCAACCTTGAGAGCAAACATTAGGTTTTCCTAGCGCTTCATCTCCTCACCTCAAAGATTGAGGTTTTGGACTGCAACGTACAGCTTAGGACAGATGTTAGCATGCAGAATGAGCTGCGTCCAATTTCGGTCATGTTTCCTTATCTTTGCAGGCAGATCGGTGGTAATGAGTTAATGGCGAACATGTCGTTAACGCAGTTGGCAATTGAAAGGGTATCCGGCATCCCACAGATCACTAGCCAAAATGATTCTGGGTTAGTGTCTATATTGCTGATGCAAGCTCATGCCATTGGTGGTGTCGAGCAGTGCAGACTGATGGATCTTTCGGATTTGGAGATGGATGCGCGTAAACTGATTACTGTTTTAATTGAGGTTTTTAACAATTAGGTCATGCTACAACCTCTCGTGAACACTATTTTTAATGTTGTTATCTTTGTTATCAGACATTTAGGATTATGTTGGATTTAGGACTACGTCCTTTAAACCGTTAACCATTATGTTGGGTTTAGGACTATGTTGGATAATTTCGTTATGTTTAAGGGTTTGTTCGATATTTTTTTCGGATTGCTCTATTTTCTCTCTTACCCTTTACCACTATCCTATTTATTAGTAACATGATGATTTATAATGATATCTAGGTTAATTTATTAAACATATTACTGTGATAATAACAAGTAGATAGGACCTGTTAGCATAAAGGTATTTATGTGAGAACATAATATTGATTGCTTAATTTGTATTACACAAAGCTTTTTAACTAAAAAAGGATACACAAAGGTTTACGATAAACAGAGATACTGCAAATATAGTTAAATATGATGGTCTGCTCACATTAGCATCACGAAAATAGAATATTTTACTAAACATAATTATCCTTGTAAGTTTTGAGAACATAACATAAAATGGGAAACCAACTAAAACGGTAAACCAACTAAATTACATAACCATTCGCCATCACCTTCAAAAGAAGCCCTCTTCAATGCCAAAAACCAAAATACAGAAGTCCATCGTCTACATTTTCACCTATGGCTCCTGTAATTTAAGGTATTCATAAGAATATAAACTGTACATTAACATATGAAAAAGAATAGCATCAGAGGAGTCAAATAACCGGGAGTGGGGCCTTGCAAGTAGAACGGTTATGCCCACGACCCTTGCAACGAGTGCACTGCCTTCGGCTAACACGCTGAATATTAAGGTATACAGGGATTGTTAACAATATTATTCATTGTTTCGATAACAATAATATGATAAGTTTTATTTACCTTAAACTCTCTTCGTGAGAGAATGTGCTGCTTACGCGGTCTACCTGGTGGCCTACGAACTGCTAGAGGTCCAAGATTATCTCCATCGACATCAGTTGCCGATGGTGCGAGGAAATCCATATCTGATACTGGCAATATTAGTCCGGAGTATGCCAACTTTCTGTATTCGGTTGTGTAATGAATTTCCACCAGAGTATCTATTCGGATTCCTTCTTTTATTGCAGTTACGATTGCATGTTTACAGGGGATATGAAGTAGCTGGAATTCCCGGAAAGTGCATGTTTCCTCCTATAGGTGGACGGCGTAAGCAACATCCATCTCGTCGCGGACTTCGTAAACGCCGTCATTTATATGTTAACATTGTTAACATTTATCTTCAGGTAAAGATATCCAGTGTTAACAATACGAGTATATAAAGATTTACATATCTTCATGACAAAATATCCTAACGATTTCTGGAAACTCTCTATCAGCATCTCTTGGACTTTTGGATTAACAATGTCTGTCTTTGTTTGAGCAAAACTCCTTCGTAGAGCAAACCAACTAACCAAAGTAGTTCTAATAGTTTCAAGTATTGATATTGTTGGATACTCACGACACATAGTAATCACCTTGTTTAGAGTCTCTGATATGTTACTTTTCATGACGTTGTAACGCTCTCCAACAAAATGTGATCTTGTCCAATGCTCAAATCTAATGTTTTCAAGGTACTCTGCGCAGGCTGGATCAATTGACTTGATCTCAGCAAAGTACTTATCAAACTCTGACAGGCGGTAAGCACGAGCTGCCTCTGATACCAAGAAACTGAGATGGGCAGATTTAAAGATGCTAACAATGTTATGTTGCAGATGAACAATGCAAGCTCCATGCAAGGACATCGGATACACCTGGCATAAAGCGACATAATTATATCTTAACTATGTTACAACGGAAGACCTAAAAACAAGGGTTACCATGTTAGCAACATAAACAATGATGTTAACATAATTACCTTTCGAATGCTAGCATATATTGATGAGTGCATGTCCGAGATGAAAACCAAATCTGGCTCGTCTAGCACAATGGCAGTTAGCTTACGTTAAAACCATTCCCATGAGTCATCATTTTTGCTGTTAACAATCGCAAATCCCAACGGGAACACTTGAAAATTTCCATCTTATGCACTTGCAGCTATAAGACATCCTCCGAAACGACCATTCAAATGAGTACCATCGATAACTACTACCTTCCGCATGTACCAATAACCATTAGCGCACGCAGCAAGCAAGAAGAACAAATATTTGAATCGGTCCTGTCCTGTTTGGCTTTGTTCTGTTTCTAGCGCCACCACAGATTCTGGGTTTGTTGTCAGGAGTTTTTTGAAGTAAGGTTCAACCAATCTAAAACTCCCAATTGCATACCCTAGTGCGTTGTCCATTGCAATTTCCCGTGCCCTCCATGCTTTCTAGTAACTAACATGGAGGCTATATTCCTGACGCAGCAGTCTTCTTAAATCACAAGCTCTTGGGCCCCTTCCACCAAGGCTGTACCTTTCACGCATCATGTTGCCGATAACATGGATATACGCTTGTTTGTGAAAATCTCTGCGGGCGTCAACACTACAGGTGTGTAAAGGTCTGACAGTCTTCACCTCATAGCGCTCACTTTCAGCCATCTTAACAGCATATACCCTCCATGGATATGTAGGTCCAATGCAAACTACTGTTACAACTTTGGAGCAGGAGTCCACGTATCTGAAGTGAAACTTTCGCTTAATTGCATGTATGGCTAACTTCATTTTGCATTCCTCTTGGGATTTAAAGATATGTCTAACATAGATATCGTCTCCCTCATAGTCTACATCACGGACAGCACGCTCCAGTTCATCTGCTGAAGAAAAATATAATTTCATTGTTAGTAAAAGTTAATGTTCCAAATCAAATACAAATTTTTTGAATAATAGTACAATCTGTAAAATAGTTATCGCTTACAGTTAGCAGATGGAAACACAGTTAACTGAACAACCTTATTTGTTATATTTTCTGGGAGCTAGTGTTTTCTATTTATAGTTTGGGTTTTAATAATTGTTTTTCGGGTTTTAGAGTTGAAAGGTTATGTTTAGCAAAAGTTACTGTTCCAACTCCAATGCAAGGTTTGGGATAATAGTAAATTTCTAAAATCTAGATATCAGTTATTCTGTGTAGATTACAACAACATTAACCGCAAGCACACTATCCTGGACCTACTGTTCAGGGTTAACTCTGGTGGATCCAGCATAGTTATTAAATATGTCACTCCCGATAACTATGTTAACTAAAATATTATACTGTTAACTACGGTTACTTATATATTACCTTCGCAAAGTGGATCGTCAAAGTACGGTGGTGCATCCCTCTCGTGTAAGGCCGGTTCGACTATAATCTCTGAAGATTCAACATTTATTTGGTTAAATGCAGTCAGTCCATTACTCCCGTGTAGTGGTGGATACGCAATAGGGGTACTGATAACACCGTATTTTGACCACTTTTATGGATCGTTTTGAAATATTTTTTCTATGTTTTTAATTGCTTTTAAGTACTTTTATCACGTTTTTCTAGTATTTGTAGTTCCAAGACTCTTTTCAGGTAACTTAGGGAAAAGCTTAACAAAATGGATAGAAAACCAGATTTCAGCTTAGAGTCAAACCGTCAAAAGTTCACCCCTGATTGAAGGCCTTCTCACCGTCTGATCCATTTCAAATTTGAAGATCTTAAAGATGGAAGTATCAGCTTTCCAGCACACTTTACAGCTTGGCAATCCAACGGTTCAATCAAAAGATACGCGAAGAGCAAGATGTCCCGTAAACCAGCCGACAAGCAATTCCACCCGCGGCCAACAGGCTATTTCCCGCGGTCATAAGCATCCCGACCACGGCCAGCAGTCCATTCCCCGCGGTCACATCCATCCCGACCGCGGCAAGCCAACTCTGAGCCCGAAGGCCCATTTCTGAAGCCCACAATGATTCTCTCATTTGGAGAAACCCTAAGTGACGTCCAGAGATGTCTTGAGCACTATAAATACATGTCTTAGGAACCCTATTTCGGAGGATATGCTATCTTTCTTATTGTTTTAGAATACTTTTTAAGTTTTAGGTTTTAGGGAGAGAGAGATCTGTTCTCTTGAACCCTTGTTCTTTCTTTTTCAATTTCGGTTTCTATTCTACTTATTAATACTATGTTTTTGATTTCGTTCATTATGTCTGAGTAGTTTTATTGTTGGGATTAAGGGATTTTCGATGGGGATTTATATGTTCGATGAGGATTCCATGAGCTTTTGAGCCGAATCTTAGAACTTTTTCTTCTGAATTTGTTTTCACTGCATGAGAGTAGCGTCATGAACTACAATCTGATCCAGATGCTTGGTGACACGAAAGTGTTCATCCGGTGTCAGATCTAGTTTGGGAGAGCAAAACAACCATAGGAGTGGATCTACCTATGGGCGATTTGTGAATGCTGACGAGTCTTAAACATAATGCATCTCTTCTCTTCCAGAGCCAGAGTGGAAACCTACTGGTCAGGGTTGAGAGAGATAGTTGTCTATGATCACGACAGTGGCGTATTCATACGTCCGTGACTCCAGTTCGAAAAGTTTAAGCTAAGATCTTATCAAATTTACTCTCTAGCAATGTTTTGAATCGTTCGTACCCCTAAGAAAACTTCCCTGAACCCCAACGCCTTTTTCCTTATATATCCACACCGTTTTTATTTCGAGCTTTAGTTCAATATTCTCATTCCTTTTTAGTTAATTTTCATTTAAGCAATTAGAATATCAATTTTTCCCGTTTTTACCTGTTTTCATTAAGTTTAGTTATTAGATCATTTTAATTCCCGTATTGTCTCTTTAAGATTCGTTTTTACATTTTTAACTCACCACCAAAACCCCCACAAAACCATTTGGTTCTAGACTTCCTTACTTTATATTTCTTTCGAAGGCTTTTGCAGGAAAGATCCTCCTTCCCTGTGGATTCAATCCCTAAGTAATACAATCGATCAGCTGTGCACTTGCGGCTATTGATTTTATTTAGGGTAAAACTTGACAATCCTCACGACAGCACAACCCACATCAGGTACCAGTCAGCACTGGTGTTATCTGTCTTATATGCGCCCGGCTCTGACTTTGGGAACCAGATCCTCTCTCTCTCACCTTGTTATCCGACCTGAAGAGTATGCCAGTTGGGGGTCGTCGTATATGTGCCCTGTTTCGATGTTGAGATGTTGATCCTCTTTGGGTCTGAACATTTTTCGTATCCACCATGATACCTTTTTCCCTTGTCAACTACGGTACGTCTTTCGTTTGGCATTGCTCTTGATTGTTGGCCTGCATCTGGGACAGAAATTACTCGATCAGGAATTGGGTCATCGTACAGGCGTGCAATAAGATCTTCACCTGCCAAAATATATAAAAATTATTATGTTATCAATGTTATCAGAGTATAATAATCAATTGTGTTGCTAAATTTGTCACCTAAAAGTGATATCCTAAGATCCGCTCCCTCAGCTGTAATCATGTTGGCATCTTCGGATACGTGGCAGCTTCCAGTTCCATGTGGTAGTGAAGTTGTTGACGAATCAGAACTAACTTGTATTACGGTAGGTTGTGTTAGCAAAACATCTCTATCATCTTCGATTTCCACGTAAGCTCCAGCAAGTGTTAGCTGCAACCCTGACTCGGGTGCAACAGGATCGTTGTTAGCATCTGTCTGTCGGACAAACCCTTCGGTCACTTCTTCAACAGTAATATCGTCTGCAGTCCGAGCAAATGGTCCAGGGCCTTCGTGGAAAAACCTCCACAAATCATTCACTGTACGTGGTAGCTCGGGTTCATCTGGACGACTTTGCATTGTTTCAATAAACATGGATATGATCAGGTAACTATATCAATGTTAACTATGGTAGCATAATATATATTTTAGCATCTAACTATATGTTAACAACACATCATAATTACGCTGCTAACAAAGATAACAGAAACTTAAATAATGCGTTAACTATATTTACCATTATTTCTACTATTCGAAGCACCCGCTCCCCTTCTTCTCTGATGAATCCCCGTCGGGGTAAAACCCAAGTAAGTTGCCATTGTTGGTACAACTACTGCCGGATTTGGTTGTAGAACACTTCTCGGGCTTACTCCACTACTAACATCCATATCGGATATGTTGTTAATAGAGTTAACAATTTTTCTATTTTGACTCTGTCGGACCTTCACTCTAAAGAACACTTCCTCCAGATCCGCCTTGATGGCTAAGAAAAGGGCAGCACCATCGTCATCCAAAATCTCCAGCGGCTGACACTTTCTCCAGTTCGGCCCTAGCATCCAGTGTGGCCAAAGGTAGGTCAGTTCCATAAATTGGTTGTGTTGCAACTTCATCTTTTCTCTTATTGCCATTTCCATTGTATTCAGTGTGTCTCCTTCTCGAAAAACAACTGTGTTAGTTATTCCTTCCAAATCTGGGTGATGCTCCCAGCTCCCATCAGCGGTCATCCGCCACTCCCCTTTAACTACCTGAACAGTGAGAGTCATCTTCTTCCTGTGCAATGAGTGCTATGTCAATTTGAAAGTATGGAATGGTGATAACAATGTACTTTGTTATCGATAACATATATAAGTTAACAAACAACTACTGTGTGATGTTCACTTACGTGGTATTGCTTTAAGCAACGATATCTTCCAAGAACTTTCCAAACAAGGCCCAGCAGTTATTACAGGTGAAGAACAACCGTTTGACATAATTTAATGCTTTTGAGGAAAGTAGTTTTGTTGCAGAGTGAGTGAGAAGGTGATAAAATAGGCAGTAACTCTTTCATGTAATTTTTTTTCATTTGTTATCTCGCTTACCAATATTGTTATCGATTATGTACCACACAAAATCAGACTCTCCAAATCTTTCTGCAGGCGGCGCGCGTAGTTATCCAGGTCTATTTCTGACCGCAGCTGACTTGCATTAAATGCAATGTCGGTTTATTCCTTCTTTTTGCCAGACTCAACCAGTACTTACGTCATGTGCTTGTAGAGGTATAAATGTGAACATTTGATAATGTGGTATAGGCCACTCAATTTTGAGTTATTGGTTGGTATGCGCTTAATTTTACGGCCAACCATTGGTATATAGTTAAATGATCCATAACATAATAGAAGTATCTGACTCCGATGACAGAGAAACAGTTTACAAAAAAGAATAAGGTTATTTCATGCTCAGTTGAAATAGTATATGCACTATTAACAGTGGCGAGCCCATTCAATTATCATGTCATAATTATTATTAAAACGGATAATTATACTATAGAAATTATATTGTAAACTTATTATAGTTTCCTTTTTATCTTTTATGTAAATTATCTCTACTAACCTGCATTAAATCACATTTTCTGAATATCGAACTCAATACACTTTGGTGTGACCTGAAGAATGAGGAAGAACAATGCACTTCTCTTGTTTCCTAAAAAAATACATCAGTTATAAGTAATGAAAATTAATGAATTTTTCTTCATTCTTAAAAATACACCATTTATAAGTAAATTTTTGTACACATTATTCTTTTTTATTATTTTTAAGGGAAAATAAAACAAATTATTCTTTATCAAATTTTAAAAGGAACAATAAAAAAAAGAATATTCTTATTATTGTTCTTTGTTTCTTTCTCTTCATTTTATCGTTGCTTTAATAGTCATCATTCGGAGCTGAAGTATTTATGATTCCGGACGAAAAAAGTTTCTTCTTTGCCAGATATTCAATAACTAATTAAAATAAGTTGTATAATAATAGTTAACAAAAGTTACGGGTTATTATGACCCATTCGATTAAACATAAGTGTCGAGCGCTGGTAAGAGGGTCAAAATAAATTGTTTTGACAAATTAGCCATTAACACATACACACTAGCGAGAGCAATATTGTACTAATTATTTAAATCTAACTGGTCTCACTTGAAGTCTTGAACCCTGATTAGTATGACATACGTAAGTGCATACCAACGTGATTAGTATGACATAAGTTGCATGTTTCATAAGTCCACTAAGAATCGGCATAAGAATACTTGGGTTAAAAAAAAATACTTGGGTTAATAGATCGGTTCGTTGTAATCCAAAAAACTGGTCAAAATACTGATAGGTGTGGTCGGACACGAAGATACTGAAGAAGGGTAAGACATCAATTTTGATTTTGGTGGTGATCCCAAAAGTCATTCTGAAGTAGAAAATAATTGATTAGTTTGCAGATTTGAACTACAAGTCGATGTCATATGTTGAGACAAATGTGATGTTGTTGAATGCTAGCTGAATCTAAGACAGATGCATGGTTAGCGATTCAAATGACATCACCAGTCTGGCCAGTCATCACGGCTTCTGACCGCCGATCAAACCACTAACGGTCAAGGTTTGATCATTGACCGCAAATGCTTGTTATCAAGTACTCTCCAAATAAAAGAACAAATAATTACGCTCATGTCAAACTAAAAATTCAGAATGATTATCAGTAAGAGATCTGAACAAAACAAAAAAAAAAAAAAAAAAAAAACCAGACGCAATGAGAAATCAAACAGGAATGGGCAAATATTGAAGCCATCCACCAATATTAATGAAGTTGAGATCAGTCAAACTTTGAACGACCGATCCACTCAGCTTCTTAACCCAACCCACACGTTTTTGTGTATTTGATCCACTTCCAAAGCAACCATACTCTGCAAACGTTAGCTGATATTCGCGTCCCACGTATTTCCATGCGTCCCAACCTTCAGGGACAATTACATTGGTCAAGTTTGTATTGTAAAAGATTACTCGAGCGTAACCGCGCCATGGTCTTCCTAAGAAAGCCTTGCCCGTTCCGTGGACGAGACTGTCGATGAACACGAACCCGTTTGCGTCGTACGGGTTGGTCCGTCCTTGAGCCGTTATGTAACCAGCTGTTCCCGGTTGTAGCAGCGCTCCTAGCACTTGTATCACACATTTCTACCAAACATACACTAAATTTCATCAGTAAATTGAACTAGATCAGGTAGTTAGGATTCTTAGTTATATGTGAAAACCAAATGGTTTGGTTTGGGTTATTTAGTTTTTCGGGTTTATGAAAAATCGTTTCGAAATCAAATGTAATGTGGTTTTGGTGTAGTTTTGGTTCAAATTCGATTTTGGTTTGGTTCAGATATGGAGTGGGTTTCAGAAAATTATAACAAAAATAAAAATAATTAATTAATTTTAAATAATAAAGTAGATTTTAGTATTTTTCAGTATTTTTTATTATGTTGAATTTTGGTTAATTCTGTTAATTTTATTCGATTTTATGTAATTTAAATTCGGATGATTCGATATAGAAAAAAAATCATTCGGGTTATTTTATAATTCGGTTTAAGCTCAGAAATTTCGGTTTCAGAATTTTGTCCACCCAATCATCATCCTAGCTAGGTTAACATTATCTTAAATAACATTATCCATAAAAACTAAAATTATAATGTGAAGAATGTAACGGATCACCTTGTAAATAGATTGGCCGTTACCAAAGATGAAATCGACGGCGCCTTGGATGGTGCAACGGTGAAAGTAGTGTCGGCCTTTCAAATCCCACAAAGTATCTTGAACTCCGGCAAACCCTACCGAGTAAAACGCCGACATATCACCGCTAATCATCGCCGTCACCGCCGGAGTCCTAGGGTTCTTGTTCACCTTCCCGTTTCTCGGAAAATTATAGGTATTCTAAAAAAGAAAAAAAAACCCACAATTATAAATAAACAAAAAAGAAACTTTTTCAATATTTAACCAAAGAGGAATCAAATCAACTTATACCACAAAAGTGAGGCTTTTAACGACGGTGTTATTAGCTTCAGAAGCAAAAGTAGGGCTTTGTTCAACCGAGTAATGGTCGTCCCATTCAACTCTCGTTTTCCTCTTTCCAGCTCCAATTATAACTATGAACCGTTTATCATACGGTATTTTTAGTTTCTCCCTATAATTAGGCAATAAGAGAAAACGTTACTAAGCCATATATATATGTAACCTTTCATGATTTGAAGTCAATTGAAATGTGGCTCTACACACACTGACCAGTAAATACCAGCTGCAACGTTGATGAAGAACCAATGACGATTGTTTGTTGGTACCGAATCGATAGCTTTTTGTATTTTCGTGAAATTTCCATTGCCTGATTGATCCACGAACACTTGTTGGTGGTATACTCCGTATGGTTTAGCTTCGATGAGACAAGAACAACAAAAAGCAACGAGGACTATGAAAAGTCGATGAGTTCCCATTAGACGATATCTATTATCAAAACGTAACAGTTTAAGAATTAAGAGCAGTGGAGGAAATGAGAGAGAGTAGTGGAGGAAATGGCATTATTTAACAAGGATGTGGAAATTACATTTTTTTTTTTGGGGTCAGAATGTTATTTAATTCAGTGTTAAATATTTTGATGAAGATTTATTACTATGTTTTATTTTGATTACGTACGGAATAAAAGTAGAATCTGAATGAAATTTGGCAAGTTTAGCTTTGTTTCTAGATTTGGTGATCAATATTGGTTTTGTGTGAGATGAAAAAGGAAGTAGTGATCTTTGTGATTGTGGTAAGTGGTAACTGTAAAGTTAGTGGTCGAGACTTTATATTCATTTGGATATTGCTACAAAAATTAAGGAAAATTAATAGAGATTTTTTAATTTATTTATAGAAGTTACATTGAGATTGGTAGGAAACTTGGAATTAGTCCTACACTATCCATTTATATGATTCTCCACGTTATAAAATCTAAATAGGATAAGTATATAAATAAGTATTAGGCTGGAAATAGAAAATACCAAAATAATCACCCTCGGAAATATTTAACACTTGAAAGGAATTTTTCATTTTTATTTCTTCTAATTCTCAAGGCTTTGAAGGGAAACAGTAGTTTTAATCTATACAATGTTCTTGGGATAAAATTGGATTCTAAACTATACAATGTTCCATACTTTAGCTGTGAACCAGAACTAGTGGAAAAATATTAGAACTTTTTTCACTTTTCCATACTTTAGCGATAGAAATGGGAATCAGAAGAATTGGAGTGTCATCGGATTCTAACCAGCTGATTCAGGCGTTCTCGAATCAATCTCCGATCAAAGAGATCTATGGAATTGTGCAAGACATTTTTCACTTTTCTTCTCAATTTGAATCTGTAACGTTCATGTTCATACCAAGAAAAGCAAATGTGCTAGCCGATAAACTAACAGAACCGGTACTCTGTGGTACAGGAGGAAAACCGCTTGCTTTAATGAATGATTTCAATTTCGACTAAAAAAAAAAGAGCATATACACTGTGTTTTTCTTTATGTGAAATAATTACAGTGGCCAACATTTACTAAAATTATGTGTTAATTATTTATTTATAACATTTATTTTCTTTGTGTGATCCGCGCTACGCGCGGGCGTTTACCATTTTCTATTATATTATACACGTGTTTTTCCCGTTTTTATAGTTTTATATCTAGGGGACTTATGTCTCTTATAGAAGGTGTTATTCGGGAGTTTTTTTTTAATAATTTTTTGGTTTATATTATGGAAGTGCTATGTTTATTCTTGTTAATTTATTTTTGTTTCTGAAGTATTTGTTTCTTTGTTTTTTTTTAATTTGTAACTGTGAAAGCACTTTCTCCGTTAGTATATTTTGTATAAGGCTTTGAGTCAGTGGAAATACAATATGTCTATATTGAAATCGGGTTTGGATGATTAGTGTGAAATTTTTTTTTTTAGTCTGTAATTTTTTTGTATTATTTTATATTGGCTTATTTTTCTGCTATATTTCTTTGTTCGTTTGATGTTTATGAAATCCCATTTTGATTATACAAAGCCGTGTCCGTTTTTAACTCTTCATAATTGTAGATATTAATCGATAGCTCTCTCAAATGTTGGCAAAACCCTTCTATTGTTGGAATTTTGGTTTAATGATAGAGGGTGCTTCCATTGAAAGAGGGTGATTGAAATTTTGGTCGGACCAACCTTTTGTTCATATCCATTCCTTTGGTCTCTAATTGAGTCATTTTTTCATCCTCCTTCTCTTTCTTCCTTGGGTGATTCAGTGACGTTTAATTTCGGTATCCTCCACTCTTGCGGTGTTTTTTTCCAGAATCGGTGCCGGTCGAACCCATCCCCATGATTTCTTAGATATACCTCTATTTGTCATCATATTGGGGAGCTGATCGGTTTCTCAGCTTTGGAATTGGTTTTTTGGGTGTGCCATTGGTGACTCCAATTTGGCGTGGATTTCATGGATCATTTTTGGGATTGGTATAAAATCCAGTGTTTATGGTTAAGTTGAGCTGAGTTGAGTTTTTTCTGAAAAATATCACTTTCGTCGAAAAATCTATTTATGCAATTCCCTTTTGATGGTGATTCCGTGTGATTTTGTTTAATTTTAGTTTATGGTAGTGTGATATTTGATTTATTTAAAGTGTCTCATCATTTGCCGTAATTAGAGAAACCAAACAAAACAAAAGTTTAAAAAAATAATAATTGTATAGGTGGCTGCTGAGGTGGCTACACCAGAAGAGAGAAAAACTATCTTTATATATATAGAAGTTGAGCTGAGTTGAGTTTTTTCTGGAAAATATCACTTTCGTCGAAAAATCTATTTATGCAATTCCCTTTTGATGGTGATTCCGTGTGATTTTGTTTAGTTTCAGTTTATGGTAGTGTGATATTTGATTTATTTAAAGTGTCTCATCATTTGCCGTAATTAGAAAAACCAAACAAAACAAAAGTTTAAAAAAATAATAATTGTACAGGTGGCTGCTGAGGTGGCTGCTGAGGTAGCTGCTGAAGTAGCTGCTGAGGTGGCTGCACCAGAAGAGAGAAAAACTATCTTTATATATATATTCTCTTAAACGCAAAATTAGAAGCATTCATATGAGTATGTTATCCATGATTATAAATAGTAATATACGGGAGAAGTGACCAGTTTTTACATTATACTTGAATGAATTCGTGAAGAGTAATTAAGGAGCTATTCATTAGCATGGAATGCTTGTGTCCACGCAATAGCGATTATTCATGTAAACGCGGTATTTCTAATTTGGATCTCTAAACCATTCTATGTTGTTGACAGAAAAAAATATAATTTTTTTTTTCTTTTTATCTTCAGCTTACTATAATATATTTAGATATACTTAAGCAACCCAAACATTCCAACAGAAGTATGCGTTCAAGGAACTTTACATGTACTATGTAAACGCCTATGGTTATAAAAGTAAGGAATCAACACTTGCCTTGACTTGGAAGGAGTGGAGAACGGTTTGTGACTTTGTTCCATGGTAGTGATATTAGTGTGGAGAATAGAGAGATGAAGATCCTTTGAAACAGCTATAGTCTTGATCAATTCTTAGGGTCTTCTTCTTGAAAGTATCTTGATCATGGTGTCAAATTCTAATAACTTCACATCCATGTTAGCCAAGGACTACTTGTTCCCCGCCGTGTCCTCTCTGTTGAAGCCCTCATCCGCGCCCTCTAATTCAAATCAGCAGATTAGCCACCGAAGTTATGGAGGAAGAAGAAGAAGAAGTTGTTGTCGTGGTCATTTCCCGGTTTCTCTCATGATTCCTGGACGCTTCTATGATTCCAGACACTAGGAGTTGCTCGAGCTCTCTCACAAACTCTATCGCTCCTCCTATGATCAATGCTTGGTCTCCCTATTACATACATTAAATTTACCTTACGAGTACAAATGTACAATAACGACAGTGAACATATGTCCTTAATACAAACTATAGTCGGATCGATGCATCACGTTGTTAGACGCAGAAAATCTTCTAGAAGAATGTAGATATGTGAATTTTTATATTATTCTATGGAAACATTTTCGCTCTGATTGAGTCCAAATATTTATCTCATTCCTATATGTGTGAACTCTTATTTTGATGGACACTTGTATTTTCATCACCTCTTCCTTGGAACTGCTTGTGTTCTACGTTTCTGTGTCTTTCTTGAAACTTCTTCCTCGGAATTTGATTTCTACGTTTCTGTGGCTGAGTTATTTACTTCCTATAGACGTGAGATTTGAAAGAGTCGGTCTGGTATGACTGTATGAGTAGTCACCAAGATAAGATCTTATCTGAAAACAAGAAAGACAAAATTTGGTTTTCAAAGCTTCAGTGCATTTTCTTGACATTCTTGAGGCTGGTGATGGGAATATGGTGCAGGTACATCATAACATCATGTACAAACTGGATGGCCTCACTTCTTTATACTCTAACCATTTAGGTCTCACTGTTCAAGACAAACACTGAAGTTGAAGTAGACTGAGAAGCATCTTGAGAATGAGAGTCCAGAAACGAAGAACAGAATCCAGTAGTTGATGAAGTTTGTGATGAGATTTTCCCTCGTTTACTTAGGCAATGTGTGTGTGTTTGTGTAAGCAACAAGTCTTTTGTAACAAGAACTAACGTCAAAAGAAAAAATCAACTAAAACAATGAAACCAAACAGTAGGTTTCTACAGTAAATGAGATAACGATAAACAGAGAAATGAAGATGGAGACAGATACAGAGTCTAACGAACTGAAAACATGCTATTGTAATACAATTTTAATACAATCTTAACGAACTCTGTGTGGATCTGCGAATTTTACTCTGTTCATGTCTTCTTGGGCCAAATTACAGGCAGACTCTTGCTTACCTTCATTGAGACCAGAGACGAATTAAAAGAATGTCTCAACTCATACAAAACAAACGCGTTACAAAGAATAACTATGTCTTCGAGTGATAGAGAAAAGAAAAATAAAACCTAGCAAAACAAAATATATAATATACCATGTGCTTTCATGCGTTGTGCAATGCTAACCAAGCTTTCAAAGTTACTCTGACAAATTTCAACTTTATAAAAGAAGAAAAAAAGTTTCTGCAGTTGTGCATCCTAAGCAAATATCACCAAAAACCTTGTTCCAAAAAAAAAAAAAACTATTATCGTCAGTGATATTAAATAAATTATTCACGAGTACGGATAACAATCATCAACTTCTTCTTCTTTTATTTTTCTCCTTTTCCATCTTCTTTGCTCAAATGATTGTTTTTTCTTTGGTTCAGTGACATCTTTATATAATTTTTTAAAATGTAATGTTACAAGCATTTTCTGACAAACTTGAATAGAAAACATTTGGAAAAAGAGGGAGTCTAAAAGAAGAAGAATAAAGAAGGGGATCACGATTTACTTTGATGACTATTTGGTGGGAGAAACATCCAGTAAAAAAAAAAAAAAAAACTAAACGTAACTTAATATACTATAGACTTGAATGGTATATAATTTGTTCACGTTTTGAAAAACGTGATTTTGCCGATAAAACAAACATAGCTTTACGTTCCAAGGGTCTTTTAAACAATTATAGTTTATAAAACGGCCCTTAATTTCTTTCTCTAAAAGGGAGGCCATAGGCTTTTTCTTCAACTATATAGCACGGCCCTGATTACAAAGTCATATGGAAAACTTTTTTTTGTTTGTTTTAGAACCATAATCTTCCTTTCTTCGTCTTTATATTCTTTAATCCTTTGTTCGTCTTTATCTTCTTTAATACTTGGCCTTTTAGCGACCTTAATTTTGCGGCAATTTTCTCGAGTACATTTTACTATTTTAGGATCTGAAGTTTTGTCATCATCATGGTTCAGTTGGTGGTTGCGTCTTACTAGAGTCAGAATCATGCAGACATAATCTCTATGGGGCAAGAAAGAAAAAACAGAAAATGTTAGAAAAAAGTTTCTTGGGTGACAAGTAACTCATACTGGTCATGTACAAATTTTCATTCATTGAACTAATTATAAAGCTATTTATATTTTAGAAGTTCAGAAACCAAAAACTGAATTTAAAACGAATATCTAAATGTTTTTAAGGGAGAAATAGCAAAGTAAAATAAATATTTTACTATTCTTGGCAATATATCTTAATTTCTAATGATATGCAAACTAGACAAATTTGGGTGTAAAATAAGTAACCATTATAAATGCTGGAAAAAGAAGAACCATAGTAGTTTTTTTTTTTTGGTGTAGAAAGAACTTAATTGAAATAATGTCGCATCAACCTGAAATTTTTTAAAAATGTGATAATATTGCTTATTAAAAGTATTTATAATTGAAAAAGATGATACTTTTTTTTTGTCAACATGAGGTCTTTGATGCATTTACAAGTAACTAAGATTTCTAACCTTTAGCACTTTAAAATAATTTATTAAAATGTTAATTATTTCTTGATGATTAGATGCATCTACACTAAAAGAAAATATTGACATCTCTTTTCTTCTTCTTTTTTTTTTTTTTTATAAACGGCAGAAAATGATGACATTCTAAAGGTAAAAAAATAAACAAAAATAAAAGACATCTAAAAATTGTTTAAAATAGACCCAACATAAGCTTTTGTTTTCAAGCCACCAACATAAACTTATGAAAAGTACCTTTAGTGGAAATACCAAGAGAAATACATAAATCATTACATGGTGGTATTTGCGTGAATAAAACTAAATATCTCCTGAATGGAACTTGCAATATCTTCTGCCGTAAACTTTGTCTCACTTGTAATCTGCACATGTTTTACATCACATCATGTGTTAGCCTTTATCAGTTGTTACATATACTGTATACAATACCAATCCATAATACATGCGTCTTTGTAACTCCTTTATGATTTTCTCTTTTGTGCCTAGAGGGAAACAAAATCTGTAACTGTTGCTGTAAAGCTCATACCTATTATTTTTGTACTGCCCTAAATTTTATTTATTTATTGTTTTGACTGTAGAATACGGAAAACATTTAGAAATCCAAACCGGGATATCAAGTTTATTTACATAAAAGATACTTTATAATTCTTAAATTTTATCAATAAACTAAGAAATTATACAATTTTAGAACATGCAATCTCCATTAAAAAATTTTACGTCCAATAAAATACAATCTACAGTCTCAACAACCGGAAAAAACCACTAAGAAACTCAAATCAATATGCAAAACGTATACAGTGCTAGATAAATTTTAATTTAACACATATATAATGGTGAATCCATGATTAAAATCGCAATGGTTAATATCTAGACCATTATTTTTTTCCTTATGGATTAATAAAATATATTTAGGTATATGCAAGCAATCCTAACATATGCGCTCAAGAAACTTCATATGTAATATATCTAAACCCCTATGATTATAATGTAAGCAAGTGAAACTTGCCTTGACATTGAAGGAGTAGAGGACGGTTTGTTCCATGGTAGTGATGTTAGTGTGAAGAATAGAGAGCTGAAGATCCTCCAAAGCAGCTATAGTCTTTATCAGTTGCCCTGGTCTTCTTCTTGAAAGTATCTTGATCATGGCGTCAAACCCTAGTAGCTTCACCTCCACGTCAGCCAAACACGACTTCTTCTCCGCCGTCTCCTCTCGAAGCCCTCCTCCTCCACCTTCTAATTCGGTTACACTTCCCGTAATAATTAGCGGGTTAGCAACCGAAGTTATGGGTGAAGAAGAAGTCGTTGTCGTGTTCATGTCTCCAATTTGCCTACTACCGGTTTCTCCTAGGATTCTCCGACGCTTTTGTGATTCCAAACATTGTAGGAGTTGCTCCAACTCTCTTACAAACTCTATTGCTCCTCCTATGATCGATGCTTGATCTCCCTATTATATACATTAATTAATATTTTATAAGAAAGAATTAGGTTGAGACGGTCTAACCAAATATCTACGTATGAACACAATCACCCACACACAAAAATAATTATACCCTTTGAACGTAGGATCCAGGCATGAGAGACCTAAGGACACGAAGATGCTCGTTCATTTGCTTCCTACGGTTCCTCTCGACTGCGATATGAGTCATTCTTTGGCTTTCAACTTCTTCGCTGGTCTTGCTTGTTCTAGCTCTCTTCCTTTTGCTCTTCACTTCCTTCGTCGTAACATTCTTGTTCTCTCTATCTTCATCTTCTTGTTCTCCGATAAAACGGAGTTGCACGGAGTTGTTATCGTTCTCGTCGTCTTGATTCTCCTTTTCTTCAAGAAACACGTTGCCAATGTTTCCTTCACACTCACCTCCTTCTTGAGACATGAGATGATGGGTTTGGTTATGGTCCTCTATCTTATCGTTCAAGACTGGGAACTTCAAGAAATAAACCGGGTCCATCCCGGTTTCTTGATCGTCTTGGTTTCTTGTTTGGTTCAACGCCAGTTTCGGACCAAAGTCGGCGAACTGCATCACGTCTGCAAAACTCATTTTATCAAAAGTAGGCGTTGCTCCAAACCCTGAAGGAGACAGTTGTTGCTGCTGCGGCATCGATTGCTTTTGTTGTTGAAGGTTTCTGTTGAACATATAGTCTATCATACCGGAGTTGTTATCGTCGTTACCGCCTGAGGATTCACCTAAGAAGTTCGGTGCCTGAAAGAAACGAGAATCAAGTTGATATAAAACTATTCATATATATGTAGGAGAAGAAAATAATGGTTAAGATATGGAGAAAAACGTACGTACCGAGTAATCTTTATCCATTGCTATAACTTGATTATAAACTCTACAAGGTTTAGCTTCTTGAATCCAACACGACCTGATTAACGAAAAACGGTCCATGAGCTCCGGAGTTAGTTGAAACATATACATGAAACAAAAGCACACGTAGAACAAGTTAAGACCAAACCTAGGCAACATACATGTTCTACCATGTATGTCTTGTACAAAATGTCTTTTCACGAAAAATAATTAAGCGATTATAACACCAAAACACGTTAAGAACTTGTTTAGTACGGAGTTGATGAAATAAAAAAAGGGGCTGACCTTGTATGATTTACTAGGGTTTACGAGAGATGTAAATAAAAGAACATGCAAGAGTAGTAAAAGATAGAAAAGAGATAAATGTAAACAAAAATGAGCTAGAAACCACTACCGAGCTCCCATATATATACACACACGCATATATATACATAGAGAGAGAGATGTGTACATAAGGTATAGCAAGGGGCATCAAGTTCTTAAATGTAGGTATATTCTTAATAGTTTGTTTTTATAATTAAACAAAAAAAAAACTTTGTATAAGAATAACAAAGGAATCATTATAAATCTTAAATTTAGATTATCTTCACACAATGATTGAAAATAATTTCGTTCAAGTAGATATATAAATCTTGAGTATTATTGTAATTTGATTTCCTCTATCTCTGAAGATGAGACGCATTACAGTAATTTCTCCCTAACTAACCCCATTAACCAAAAAAATAAAAATTATAGACCTTGGCTTTTCTTTGTTTTTTTTTTTTTTGTTTTTGGTTATATACAAGTAAAAAAAAAAATATGGGTTATATGTTTTATTGTTACATGCAGTCCGCGGTTATTTTAATAACCTACACGAGATTTTGAATATTTTTGTCACAGTCAAATTCGAATTGGAGATCTAGCGCTGCTCAAAAATCAAGTTGAATCGAATTAATTACCGAGAGATTGAGTTTGAGTCAAATGAATGATTATTGAATTTTCCAAACCATATCTTGTTTTTGTAATAAATACTATAAAAATGACTACATTTCTTTTTTCTTTTTTTCCGTAAACGTAAGAGGGAGATGGAGCCACAAAATAAAGAAAAAGGAGTAATATGAAAACACACGTGTATCACCTCTCTCTATCTTTGGAACCATTAAAGAGTAGATAAGTTTCAGAGTTCACAAGCAACCCAAACCGCTCTTCTTTTTTCTACCGCTTTTCGTGAACTTAATCAAATCTCCCTACGCGTCTCCTCTTTTTTTTTTTTTTTTTTTTTTCTATCATTTCATATTGAATTTACTTATATTATGTGTTGTCAAGTATACGAATTTTTTTTTCACGAAAATGACCTATGCTATTTGTGTGTGTTGTGGAGACATGTGAATTTTTTTCATTTCATTATTTGTCGTCAGACATGTGAATTTTAATAAGGACAAGGTCGTATATTTGCACAAAAAAGGACAAGCTTGTTTAGCAAAAAAGGTCGTATATATATTGTTTAGCAAAAAAAAAATATATATATATTAAATCTTTGTTCAGATCATGGTATAAGTAAAACCGTTTAGCATATAGTCTATAAAAAAAATTATCTATTGTAAAATTATCGATATAACAGTTATCTTAATTTATATTAGAATAATAAATTTTAATTTATTAACACGGATTTTAAGCACTCCAAATTTTTATTAAAAAAACTTTTGATATTAATCTAGTTTATTGTAATGTTATCTAAAAATACCTTTTATTTTGTACTAAAATTATATTCTGAAAATATAGATATTACTTTAGATTTTCTTAAATATAGGTAAAGTTACTTACCAAAAATAATAAAATAATGATATTTAGTTAAATTATTTACAAAATAGATAATTTACGTACTAAAAGCATATTTTTAACAAAACAGGTCAAAAAATTTGGATAAAATTATTAATTTGTTTACCATACATGTCGTACCCACAATATATTTTTCATATAAAATAAAAAACATAAAAAAAACCGCCTCAATTGTGAATTAAAAGTTTAGTAAACTATGTACGATATTCTATGCCAAAAGTCTAAAATTAAATCTGTTAACATATGTTACACATCTCAAATTTTTATAGCCACAAATACATTTTGTCCAATTAATAGAACTAAAATGAGAAATCAAAAATTAAAAATTATTATGATTCTAGGACAGACTTGAAAAAGCTTATGTCTGCATAATTAACTCACATTACTTTTCATATTAAACTCCTGTTCTAGAGCGGATTAAACAAAAATTATGTTCATATAATAAATTTTTGTTAACAAATAAACTATTTTAATATATTAAATATATTTCTAAAAAATCTTGTGCAAGCGCATGAATGATAGTATTTTTAAAAACCTAGTTAGTGTTAAAAAAACAAGACTTTGTTCAAATAGTATTTTTAGATTTTACTCATCTAATAATAATAAAATATTTTGAAACTTTTTTAATATTTCTTTGAATACACAACTTACACGTCCATTATATAATTAAGCGTCACAAAAACAATTGGTAGTATTGTCGAAACTTTGAATACTTTCTGTTTTTAAAAATTATATAATTTTGTTTTAAAATTTCTCATTTATAATTTATAATTTCTCATTTATAATTTATTGGTAACGGAAATTATATTTTTATATATTTTAATCAAAGAAAAGGTAGTCAAATGAGTACACAAGGTTTGTTTCCTTGTTTTTCATAATCAAACTCCCTTTGGGACAGAATATTTTTTATTAAATTAGAATATATAAAGGCTTGAAACTCCCAATATTAGTGAAAAAAAAAATCATTCATTGTTATAACAATTGTTTGTTGCTGTTTATAACTTGTAGACGTTTGCTTGCACAAATTATTAGACTAAACCATGAATACATACACGTTAATCTGTCACAGATAAAGGTGAAGTTAGAGACAAAAACTGAAATACGATTTTTGAGTACACAAAAACAATTGACAGATTTGTCTTCCTGAAAGCGATTTAAGAAGTTTTGTTTTTATTCTTATAGATTGTATTTAATTAGTAATTTTATATATATATATATATATATTCATTTTATTATCTACTATATTATTTATTATTTCCTTTTTCTTAAACATCTTTGGACTAACAAAACCCAATCCTACCAATAGCCATAATAATATACAATGCTAGTACATGGATTTGAACTTTTGTGGGTAAGACCGCAGATGTTTTCGTTATAATCACCTCACTAAAAGCAAATTTGTAATTAATTATTTATTGTTACAGTGAACACTTTAACTTGACACAGAGAACTACAACGAATGGTTCTATTGATATTATGTTTATGATGGATAATTTTATCTTTGATATGTGGAAATATAATGAACGGCTTTACTTGTAATACGCTGAAAATTCTTGTAAATTTAAGTTATTTGATCTGGCATTCTCAGGAAAGGAAATCAAATAACTTCTGGTATAGAAGTATTAATGAAGTTTTGGTTAACTATTTGCACAAAACAGTTTTATAATTTATGATATTTATGAATGTAAAACTTGGTCTGTGATTTTATGATGTTTTATTGATAAAAAAATTTAACTTTGCGATTGTTTTTTTTACTTTGTATGTTCAACAGAATGCACAATGTATATCGTTTGGAATTATCTAAACTTTTTCAATACTAAAATATGTACCCACTTTTATGTATAAGAGATTTTAATTTAGTTTGTAAATGTTAAATTAAAATTAAATAAAAATATGGTGTTAAATTTATTTTTGATAATTTCATTAACAAAAGTGTAAAGAAAATATCTAATATATGTAATAAAAAATTTGATACTTGATTATAAAAGTATCATACGTAATGAACAGTGTCACCGACATATTTTACTGCGCATTACATTTCTTTTGCTTTAAAATGGCTGTAAATCTTATAATTTTGTTTTTTTTTTAAATGACTGTAAGCTAAAAAAGGTCATATTTTTCCCTTTTATTTCCTTTTATTTTTCTTAATGGTGACTTTGTCTGTCCCTTTTTCTTCCTTTTTTTCCTTTGTTACTTTTTACTTTCCTTCTTTTATTCTTTATGTACAAAAATCTACATATAACAGATGATTGGAGTATTCTTCAAAAAAAAAAACATATGATTAGAGTAAATTAATATGCAAATTTGTTTAATGATTAATCTATCGCTATGCACTCCCTGTTTTTTTGTAGTGATACATACGTTTGAAAAAGAGCTAAACAAAACCCTTTATGCATATTACATGAGTGACTCTAAAACAAAATTTCTTATGTTTTTAAATTTTTAAATTTTTATGAAATATTTTCTATAGTTTTTTTTCTACTTAATATACTATATATTACATATTATTCATTGCAAATGTCATTTTCCAGAAAAAATATCATTAGGTTTACAATTTAGGCTCTTTATTTTTTTTATGCCTATAAGTTAATTTAAAGATTATGTATGTTTATAAAATTTAAATATTTTATTTAAGAAAAATTTCTATGACATAATTCATTTGGTAAATAATAATTGAAATTTATATAGGATGCAAATGGTGGTGAGTGAAAGGAATGAAAAAATAAGAAGAATAATGAATTAATGATAGATGAAAAATGATGAGTGGAATTATTTCATAGCAAATTTTTCTTAAATAATTTGAACATTCAAAAATAATCCATCTCTCATTTGGAGATAGGGAAAAAATATTATTGTATGTGTTGTATAAGTTTTTTTGGGTTTTGAAACATATGTGTTGTATAAGTTGTTGTGATAAATGAGTGTGTTGAATAAGTTATTGTATTGATAAGTACTGTGTTATATAAGTTGTAAAATATTTTTTGAAATATCCCATTCTTTCGGGTTAGTACTATGAATACCAAGGCTTGGGAGAAATAAGAACCAAATTAAGTGAGTGAGTTGAGTATGAGTACTGTTTCTATCAAGTCTTTGTAATATTTTGAGTGTTCATCATAAGAAAAACTCCCCTCTTTTAAATTCGTTTCTATACTGATTTGATTCTGATAAATCACTTTCATGGTTGTACTTACTATATATATATATGTGTATATGAATTCGTAAAAGGTGTATGTGTTTATTTTGATCAATTCCTTTAGTTTTGGCTACCCATTCAATCAACAATCCAAAACATTCGATATATAAGAACGTTTTCCACGGTTGTACTAGCCGGTAGGAAAACTCTGATACGATTTGTATTCATTGGCCGTGGAGAAGTCTGGAATCTTGATTAAAAACATAAAAAGTGTTTTAACAAAAAGAAAATCATATGATTCATACATAATTAATCAAGCTACACCAAAAGAAATTAGGGAGAAAGAAAGTGTGTATATATTTTTATTTAAAGTGATATTTGATTGTGAAAGGTGTCACGGTAATCTTACGGCCGGTGAGGTGGGTACGTAGCATCTCCAAAAAATCATGCATTTTTTTACGTTCTTTTGAAGTTTTCAAATATATAAGCTCCTTTTAGTTTGATGCATGCTCACGAGTGTGTAATACTTTTTTAAGGATAAAGTTCTGTTTTATTTATGGAAGAAAACCTCTTTCTAAAACTGGTGTAAATGTTTTACATCACACCAAAATTTTATTTAATGAAGCTACTAC